CGAAAAAGAAAAGTGATGTCAGTATTGCCCGAGGAAGTTACAAACAGATCTTTATCATCTTAGAGTGAATTGAAATTTACATGTTATGTACTTTAAACTTCAGAAAAATTAATCATAGGACGGATACTATTGACAAAATACAGATAATAGATATTTCAACCTTTTAATCATTCTATGCACATTTAGTTACAATATGTAAAATATTTATCAAATTGATTGTTGTTTGCTTAACGTCAAGTGGCAAATAGTTCATGCATGTTCTGGACGATAACAATGTTTGTGGTTTACAATGAAAATTGAAATAACAGTTGTACGGACGATGATGAAACACCTTTTAGTTTCGGCAAGGTCAAAACAAATGTTTTGAGGTGAAACAAATTACTGAAAATAGGAAAAATGAAGAGGAGTAAAGCAAACTTGACGGTAGCTTGAATCTGTCTCGTTTACTATGACCCTTTCTTTGTTGTACACAATTAGGAAGAACATAAACTTGATCTAGCCAGCCAATCATTTATCTTTTCCCTCCTCCTTAAAGCCTTGTAAGAGATGTCTGATACAAATTAATCAACCTGATTTTTAATGTCATTGTCTTGAAACATAATCCCAAGGATAAATAATTACTTATTCTAATATAACGTTCTTCTTTCGCTTTGTAAACAGCACCGTGAAAATGGTTGTTACAATATAACTCCCACGTAAATCCACATGTATCTTAACCTTACGTGCAAACGCTATGTCGATTTTGCTGTGGTAAAATTGCAATTGAAAAAAAACTACAAAACCTTTATCCTTATTCTGACGCATTAAAGTCATTTCGAAACATGACGACATACGAATGAAAACGCCAAAGCTGAAGGTTTTTTCGTTGCGTGAACCCTCCAAATTCGGATAATTTTGCATTAAAATGGAATTTTGAGGTAGGTGTTATTCTATTTTCTATTCTTTTGCATTATTCGGACATTTACTGATTTTAGCCGGTCAACATTGTGGCTCATTAGTTACGAAATGTCAACTGTGGATTTGACGATAGCTTACGAGAAAAAAATGTCAATTAAGTAATAGTGCATGCTAGCTAAACATTTATTGACATTTTCATCTTTATCTAACAGGGAGTAAAATAGAACAGCCATACACACGGCATACCCACCCTCGCTTCAGTTTTTTAAATGACCATATTCGTCCTATTAGAATCGAAATAATTACATCCTGGTTAAACTAATAAACGAAAAATCAGTTACAAGATATAACACAATCACATATAATTCATGCATATTCTATGCCAAAATGTGAATGAAGGGATACTAAAATTTAAAGTAACTATGAGCACTGGTAGAGGTAAAGATTGCTTTCAATTTGAAATGTGAACTTACAATTAAACATTGTATGTTTTGAGTAAATTCTTATTTTGGCAATGTTGTGAATTTCATTATTTCCTTTTGTCCATAAAACTCTCGGTAGAATATATATATATATCTGTAAACACAAGTCTAAATTGAAAACAACGTTCAAACCTATGATTGCGTTGAATATCTGTATGCATATATATTGTCGTAAAGTTGTTACATGTTTAGACGTGTATAATAAAATGAAAATTTGATGTGGTGGCATAGTAAGTAACATTATTATACTTCATGTCAAAATGCCAGATTTTGATTGGCTAATACGAGGGTGTTAATTTACTCTATTACCCTTCATGGAGACGCTTGATCAAGTGTGCGCTTTATTGAATACGACTCTATCCTATGGCAAATACTCTATTACCTTTCACGGAGACGCTTGATCAAGTGTGCGCTTTATTAAATATGAATGGTTGTTATGTACAAGACGTCATAGTTTATTACTTTGAATTTGAAATTTAATCGACAGTAATAACAGAACATTCAGTATAATAAACTAAATAACACATATCTGAGAGGGTGATAGAGCAGATTGTTACCCCTCGAAAAGACATTGGCAACCTTGGCTTCGCCTCAGTTGACAATGTTTTCTCGGGGTAACAATCTGCTCTATCACCCTCTCAGCTATGTGTTATTTATATATTATCATCCTTTATGACAGATAAAGCCGACGAGAAAAGACATTACTCAACTAAAGAAAGCTATATTTTTATATGACCTAGTGCGTTGGGCACAATGCAGTTGATGTTAAAACGATGTCACAGAAGCAGAGGTATGAATTACAATGAGAGAACAACAAAACTTGCCTCAGCAACTTTACAGATCTATATAAATATTGTTTTCCTACATTTGAGACTAAATATGTATGTATATATATATATATATATATATATCTTTTTGTGTAAGCCCTGTATAACTACGGGTTAGCCAATGGAGAATGTCTGTCGTAAATTTGTCACATGGTTAGACGTATATATATAAATCATTAGTTACACAGTGTGCTAGTGAACTAATACAATAAATGCGGGGTCAGTAAATTCCATATGGAGCTCAAGAGCGATTTTGTTGACCCCATATTTATCGTATTAGGTCAATAGCACAATGTGTAACGAATTTATTTTACCGACTATCTTAATATGTAGCATTTCGACTAGTAGCCTGTCAAAATTATCAAGTCTTTAAGAACTTACTCCCATTGGTCTATTGAAAAACAAATGCCAACAATAACAATTTGTTAGCTTTAAATGTGTTTTCTTCATTTATTTCAATCGTTCATCATCAATTTCTTCATTATATTTCTGGAACTTGTGTAATGTTTAGTAAAATAGTTTCTTTTAAAAGTATGTTAATAAACACATTCCTTTTGTAAATTGGTAAACTGAGCATATATCATCAATACATTTCTTGAAATGTCATTGATTTAGTTGTTTACTCCTTCATCCTTTGGTCGCTTGTCGATAGTTTGTCTTATTGGTTACATTGTATCATGCTACATATCCTTATCTTTATATGGATATGAATTAATATACATCTCACTGTACTTTGTTCAGAGTATTCACTAAAACACAGGTAGATAAGACTTCGAAATATAGCTTCCAAGTCAAAAAGGGGGCAATCTTTACTCACAATATCTAGACAAAGGTTGTAAAATTTACCACTGTTCGATATTTTCTGATGGACTTCTAGTCCCAGAGGGTATCATGAGCTTAAAAGTCACTGCTTTGGTACTGACACGATGTTTAACGTAACATTTTTAAGTTCTCCGTTGACAACTTTATTCATTATTAATTAACAAAGGTTCAAACTCCTTCGGGAAAAGTTAATCTTATCCGGATTTGATTTTTCTTCAGTATCCATTGTCATAAGTATAGGTAATCACATATTCAAATACGTATCGCTCTAACCTTTAAAAATGTGTGGGTTTGACCGTTTCCTGAAAAGTACTTCAGATACAGAAATATTGGTACCGTTAATGTTTTTTTTAGCACGGAGTGGATACCACTGTTGCTGGATTGTACCCCCCGAGGGTATCATCAGATGATTAGTCAATGTTTCAGTTCTGAGATTATTTATAACATATCTGTTTTAAAATTGTTCGTTGATAAACTTAGAAATGATTAAGAAACTAAAGTTTCAACTCCCTCAAGAAAAGTTGATCTTGGATGGCTATTCTTGAAGTACTCTTCAACTTATCTGCATTGGCTTTCAAGTGTTTGTGTTTGAGCGTTTGACAGTTGTTGTCCATTCGTTTGATGTGTTTTATCATTTGATTTTGCCTTTTGATTAGGGACTTTCCGCTTTGAATTTTCCTCGGAGTTCAGTATTTTTGTGATTTTATTTTTTCCTGACGCAGGTTTATCCAGAAAAGAGCATCAGACGCAACCCATTTATAAAGTGTAAATTAATTTTTTGGCACTGAGTCGATCGCGCTAATGGTAGACTGCCAGTACCCGTTTGTATAATCCGCGCAGAAGTCAGTGCCGTGGTAGAGACATTTGATTTTAGACAACAGTAGTTTACCGATGTAAAAATCTAATGAATCGATTAGGAAGACAAATATAAAGGTATTAAACATTAAACTGAGGTAATCGCATAAAACCCAAACGGAGCGAGACCGGTTGCTTCTTCTTAACTAAAAACTAATGTCACACAAGTGTGAGGTTTAGCAATACATAAACATGGTTTACCAACAATTTCCTTTGGTAAATACCTGTACTAAGTCAGGAATATGACAGTTGGTTTCCATGTGTTCCGTTGGTTGATATTGTCTAATGTTTGATTTAGTTAGTTTTTATGGACTTCCCCTTTTTGAAATTACCTTGGAGTTTTTTGTGAATACCTGTTTTGTAATATATTCATTTTTTGAATTCGCTGCTGATAAAATTAGAAATTATTAAGAAACTAATTAAGGTTCCAACTTCCTTGGGGAAAATTGACCATAGATAGATATGGCTATTCTTTTTAAGTCCCCTTTTGTCACGTATCTCTTCACTTGTTTAGGTATTTGTACATCCCTGGCTTAAAAGATTTTGGGTTGGAAGTTCCTGATGAAGGTAAATCAAGAGAAGCCCTTTGACCCAATCTATAAAGTGTTATTTTCACATAATAACATATAATATTCAATGACAGAAAATTCCACACATTGGAAACCTGTTGCAAAATGATTCAATCTGTTTAAAATAGAAGGTTTTCATTTGTTTGCAACTACTGTAATAAGTTGAAGTAAAACTGTTAGAGCTACGGATGACTAGGTACCCAATGTGTGTTTTGGAGGGAATACATTTTTGAAAGATTGATGCCATTTATCGTTTATTTGAATGACTTTACACTAGTCATACATTTTTTGTGGTTTGCACCTAGGTCAGTTGAAGGATTCCATATATTTGTGGGTGTTTTGAAATTATGCCGTTAAGGAAGAAGAACATTATTACTGATTATGCTATACTTTCAGTCCTTTTTGGTTTTATCTGTTCTTCAATGTTTGTTTTAAGTTTTGGATTTTCAAATTTGTCAGCGAAGAGACATTAATTGTCAACATGCGCATTTGGTGCAGTGAAATTGGTACCGTTTATGCTATTAGACAAGACAAAGTAAACACATTAAAAAATTTCATTTTTATTTATTTTATAACAAAATAAAACAATTTGTAAACACATTAACATAAACGAATAACATTAAGAAACATAGTAACTTTTGACATTATTACATGTACCCAATAAGCATTTGAATGACACATTGACAAATAACCGTATTGCTGTTGTCAGCCATAGCTATATCACAATAAAATAAATTTTGTTCACAAAGTCTACCGTTTCCTTAGTACAGCATGTACTATTGCATCAAGTTTTGCAGAATTCTACCATAACCATGAATCAAAACGATACTTTTCTCTATATATGGATCTTAGTGCATATCGCTTTAAAATACCATTGAAACTTCACTATTTAATTCAGATCAGTGTATGCGATTGTATTTGTCGTCACTCGTTTCAACATTATTATTGATATAATTCCCATTGCAATAAAAAGATTCGATGAGGGGTTACAAATTATAACTCTAAAGCAACGAGTCATGACTCTATAAATATATTTGAAATAAGAATCCGTTTTCAATTGATCGATTCCGTTTCCAATTTAGAAATCTCACCAACGGTCGACAACGCTTGATTGAGACTGGCTGCTATTATTGTCAATGCAAACCTTATGGGAGGAGCATATTTTGATGTACGTAATCTGTTGAGAATATTATTCCGAAACTACAAAAAAACCGTTTTACTTTACATTTGCGATGCACTTACAAAATCAAAATTATCATTATGATTATTAGGTCCCACAGAATATACCATGATCGTACCACTTGCTTTTTATAAACAGGGACCACAGCATGTACTTCCTAACTATGATTTGTTTCCTATTTGTAAAAAAATCTATTGTCGGAAGAAAAGTCGGTTATTTTGAAAAAAAAACAAAACACTACACTGAAAAAAAACCTCGCGTTGAGAAAGGTATTAGTACTTTTAAACTCGGCGTTCTCAAATAAGACCACGAAATATCAATGGTGAAGTTATGCTGCATGATATATTCAGAAACTAGTTTTATAACTAGTCCATATTAAAACAAATTAACGGAGCAGTAAAACAGAAAATTGTTAACAAAATAACATTACAAATTGAACTACGGCAGCATTAATAAAAAAGTCAATAGAAAATTGCACCATTTAATGAAATCGACAAACAACATACAGACCCGTTATAGGAACTTGTTTTAGCCTTGCTTAACATGTTACGAGCGTTCATATGCATAATCCAAAAAACCTATCTTGATAAACAAGGTAGTAAATCGCTTTTATAATTTTTTGATATATTAAAGACACCTTTGCAACATATTATAGTCATATATACTGTAGCAGTATTACACTTAAAGGCTTGGTGCAGTATTGTTTTGTGAGGAGTCAAACATATGATCAGTAATTGGTTCTTATTTACATTTTTTATATTTATGGTCAAGTAGTAAAAAAAATACAAGTAAAGTTAAATCTTTTTAAATTAGATAAATTTTACAGACAATCATATAGTACATTTCTTTAATTTCAAATTATTTCATTCGAGTATAACTACCTGTTAACATTGTTCTAAAGATAAAGTTTACAGACAATCACATAGTATATTTTTTAATTTCAAAATATTTCATTTGAGTATAACCACCTGTTAAACATTGTTCTAAACTTACAAATGTTCACATTTCACGTTGGTTTAATTTTCTGATATTGTCCGACTTCTACGATATGATAGATATATTTTTTTAATCAGTAGCCCCATCTATTTTTAACAAAACTTAATTCCTAAAATATTTGGTTATTTTATTTTAAGATTTTAACATGTAAACAATTCTATATAAAACATATGCAAAATTAAGAGAATCCCGAAAATTATTAATGCTTACACATTAAAAACATGCGCACGTAGCAAATATTTTTCGATATATCACAACTATTTTTTAACCTTGTCATTTTGAAGCTTACTATCGAACTTTCCGAAGAAGACTATACATGTATACAAAATTACGAACTAGCACCGTATCAATTAAAAAGTCCAGTGATTGACACAAAAAAGCTAGGGATACACTGGCTCAAATCTCATTACTTAAGAAAATTTCTCAACTTGTCTCAAATAAATATTTTTAAAGAAGAATGGCCTTCTGAATGTCTGCAGATTACAAATGTTTTAAAAATGACCAATATGCTTAATTGTGTATAATTTATAGTCGCTATTAAAGTGTCAATTTTGTCCTTTTGAGTTAACATCCCATTTAGTAAATTGGTCACCATTGGGTCCTATATTTCATTCATTGTTTCAGATAACTTTGTTAACTCTGGTTTCATTTAGGCACAAGGAATTAGTTGTCTTTTGACAGTGCTATCGTAAACTGTATGATATCTTTTGGCTTTTATCACACAATATCTGATTCAACGTCTGAAAATACGACATGTCCAATGTAATTTTGGTAAGGACTCTCTGGTGGACTTATTTCCGATGGTTTCAATATTGTTATGCCAGAATCCGAGCCCGACGAATCATGCCTATCTTTAGCCTGTTAATAATAAATTGATATGATATACATGGTATACAGGAACATGCTAAACAAATACAAAACCATTCTATGTATTATAAGTGGATGAATTTCATATCATAGACACACAAAAAAGTAAAGCCAAGGTAATGCCAAAATTAATCAATCCGTTTGAGTATTTTGACATTCTTTCAAAGTGTGGATTCGCATGTCGGAAAGGCACCTACCCTATCGATGTGTTATGTTTTTTAATCATCTAGAATGGATTCAAGATATTTCAACATCGCTTATCTACTGATGCTCCTAATAAGTCAGCTTGATCCTATGAAGACTTGTTGACAAAAATGTGCATACAACTAACTGTTTTTTAACTGATCAATTCAAATTTGTGATAAAAATATACCTGTACGATATTCTACCTACATTTATTAAGCCAAATGTCATTTATGTCCCATTTCTACGTCGCGAAAAATGGCATTTTACGTTAGCGACGTTATTACCGTCCATATAATTACATCGTATGCTCTTTAGTTTAGAAATCAGATGTGGTAAAAGTGATAATTTTCTAGATAACATAACGAGATGTGGTATGATTGCCAAGGAGACAACAATCCATTAGAGACCAAATGACGTAAAATGTTAATAGGTCATCTATGAGTTAGGATAGCAACAATAATATATACATATATAAACCACAGCGAAAACATAAAATGAAAGTATGTATTTGACAAAAGTATCGGGAACATTGTACATCGAAACATAACTATCATTTCATCAATAATGTACTTCTTTTCGAGATGAAGAATATATTTCACAGGCACGATTCACCGACGGTTTTTTTTCTAGTTATTGATCTTATTATTGATAAACTACAGTACACACCTGATCATCTGATAACTGAGGATGCACCGCCTTACTTCGTACCAATGGGCTCCGTTTGGGTAAAACACATTTATCAGCACCAACACCAACAGGAGCCAGCAATGGGGTAACTGATTGTTTTCTAACAGGACATCGATCTGTAGCTATATATCCAGTAAGGCACGATAAGGGGATTTTGTAGATGTAACACGGTGGGCGTGTCATTTTGTCTGAAAAAAAAATGATCATGTTTCTTTTGTAATTATGACGTTTAGTTAAGACAGAGAGATGCCTATCTGCCACTCTTTTACTTGTTGCAGATTTATTTAAATGAAAATATATGGCTATACTGTCCGTATCTTTTAACAATACTTACATGAAGGTGATGATGGTGGTGTGTAAGAAAAATCCTTTTCCTTGCTTTTGTCTATTGGCGAATTTGGTCCTGCCGAGGTTGAAAAGAAGATGTCGTCCTAAAATATAAAGGTAATTCTGCAATTATTAAAGGGTAGACAAATGTTGAGAAATCTTAAGAATCCATGAATCAATATTATAATGGATTACGTGACCTGTAGGAAGTCTGGGATGTTAATACTTTATTTTTCACATGAAATAAGCCATCTTTGGCATTATATGCGAACTTTGAAATTTCAGTATACAAAAGTTTTAAAGGTATCAAATTTAATGCACCTGATGGGCAATATCACAATTATCATTTTGGCTATTTGTTAGGTCATTTTTGTTATTATAGCTCTTGATCTGTTTCGGCTCTTATAGCTTTCAAATATTCGGCTCTGGACGTTCCTGAAGAAGGTTACCTCAGAAAAACGCTTCGGACGCATGACGTTTATAAAGAATTGTTCTCAATTTAGTAATATCTCTTCAATGATGCTTGAGGAGAAAAAATTTGAAAATCAACAACTTATTACAACAATGAAGAGTTTGGAAACCAAAAAAGCTATAATTATATAATCATCCCATTTTCTCGTTCGGGAAAAACAAGTTAAAAGGGATATATATGTAGTTACAGAACTAAAGGGGCTAAATAGTCTATGTCGCTCAATTAGGCTTATTTTTATCTTCAACAATGGACTCTCGTAGAATAGATTCATGTAAAAAATCTCATATTTGTTGATCTTGTATTGATGATATTTTTCTCTGTTTACATTTTATCTCTATCGTCTTTAGCTTTTGCCCAAAACACAAAAAGGGTAAACAAAATTATCATTTAAGGGCAATAAAAGAGAGGCGAAAGATACCAAAGAGACATTTAAACTGATAAGTAGAAAATAAACAGACAACGCCATGACTAAAAAAAGAAAAGAAAGCAACAGACAAAAAACAGTACACAAAACACAACATAGAAAACTAAAGACTGAGCAACACAAACCCCGTTAAAAAACTGGGGGTGATCTCAGGTGTTCCGGAAGGGTAAGCAGATCCTACTGGACATGTGGCACCCGTTATGATGCTCATCTTAGTACAAACCCGGTTATGAGTCTAATTTGGTAGGTCACTAGATAGGAAATACAAGCCCTAGAACATCGTATCAACTTGGATATATATATTCCGTATGCAGGAGCTGCTGAATGGTTACTACATAAAAATAGAAAGTGAACAATTGGGAAGCTGAAATCATCTCTTGTGTCGTAAAGTTTTGTTTTCAAACGACCCTCATTGTAAATTTTTAGATGCAAGTCAAGATATAAGGCAGATTTAACTGTATCTGATGCATCCTTTAAAATGCGTATTAACGATTTCGAAAAATTTAACTTATTTGTAGATCTTGTCTTGCTGATAACTTTTGGTATCATATATAAAGTGTCTATTCATCTATTATAATTTCAATATAACAGGGAAAAAGGCATAATTTGGTGAAAATCATCATTAAAGAGAAATGACTCCAAATAGGAGTCGACTGACAAATTCGACAATGTAAACTTATTTTTAGATCTTGTATTGTTGATCATTTTTGTTATTCAAAGTATATCTCTATCTATCATAGTTTTAAAGTTAGGCAACAATGACAAAAATGATAAAATATGGTAATTTATGGCAATTACTCATAAAAGAAGTCGTCTGACAGTTTGATATGTTAGACAGTAGCTTATGATTAGCATTTTGAACATTTCTTGTCTTGTTATATTTGCTATGTTATAGCGGTTTTCATGGTAATAGACAAAACTTGCATCTTATCCCTATGTTCTATTTTTGAAGGCGGGGTTATAGGACACATTTTGTTTTAAACGAGATACCCTAATAATGATTGTAGCAAAGTTTGGTAAAATTTGGCTCAGTGGTTTCAGAGGAGACGATTTTTGTAAAAGTTAATGAACGCCGACGGATGACGACAGACGACGGAAGCCAAGTTTTGGGAAAGCTCTTTGGCTCGTTGGACTAGAGAAGTATGTATTGGTATATAAAACATTGTTTCTGGATTCGTCTTTATCATACAATTTGAATTGGAACGTATTTTAACACTATTATACATAAACATAATTCATTGTAATTAATATAACAAACTATAGGGATACCCATTAGGAAAAGCCTTGGACATGAGTCTTATCCGAAGCACCTCATATAAAAAAATATGTGCGTAAAGAATTCTATACTGTAGAGAGAGAGCAAATGTTGTATCATCCTTACAAGATTAACGGGGATATTTTTATAAAAAAAGGCCTTAATGATTACATCTTTTCCGAAACACCTCATATAACCAATATTTTATAGTATTGCATGAAAAACTAATTCCGTTCCCTCTTCACAATATTAAAAGAGATATAATTTTAAAGATCTGAACATAAGGAGTTGATTGTAGTATATAAAGGAACGGTTATGGACTCATATTAAATTTTACAATATTCGAGGCATTTGATTATTGTTCTACAATTTCCAACTTAGTACATAAACATTAATGGTTAAAATCTAACAATCTGTATCACTTTCTCTTATCGCTGTTAAAATTAATTTACAATGTTTTGCCCTTTTTGGTTATATAATTTTCTGTTATTGTTTTTTTTAGTGGGGAGGGGGGACTACAGCTTTTGTTCATTTAAAAAAAGCAACATACCTTCGATGTAATGAGACATAGGTCTGGCATGGTCATCGTATGTACCAAGTTACCGTTAATAATCAGTCGTATCTCAACCGTGTCTTGGGTAAATGCAAGGATATATGGAAAGGCACAAACTGAAAATAGTTATAAAACGTATTTAACACTTGCCTAGTTTGATTCAATACTGTATTTTGATAGGGAAATAAGCCTGTAAAAAAAGTAGAAAATTAAAGTTTAAACCATGATTTATCATGAGTTTGATATATAAAACTGTTCACATGATAACTGGAACACATTCAGACTCAGTGAAACGCAATGTTGTTGATAAATTGGAAAGCATAATGGTTCACTTTAGATGAAACATATGCATGTTATCTTTATATCGCTTAACTTAATCAGACAGTTTTCTACTTTTAATGTAAGGAAATGTTCACAACATTTGTACCGGATAATAGTTCTTTTAAAATTTATTTAAGATGACACACAGATTATTAACACGAACAGCCATGTTGATATGCATATTATATTGAATTATATTTGAAATCACTGGCATGCTAGTAAAAAGTTTGACGAGTTGCAATACTTGATTCAAACCACTATCAGCATTCAAAGGTGCATCTACCAAATCAAAACAATTGCAGTCAATCGATGATCAATGGAAGAGATTTCCCCATAAATAACCCTTATTTATATGGAAATTAATTTGTTTCTGAAATACATTGGTATTAAGTTTAATTTTTATTTCCTTTTTTTATCTTAAGTAAATCGATGATATTCTAAAATTATATAAATTTATTTAAATATACAATGTGTTTACGCTGATATCCAAATAGACGATATCAGCTTAACAAGTTTATATTGTATGTAGTATTCGATTAGATAAGCTTACCAATTGATTTCGGCTCAGAATTCCAATGGAAATCAAAGTCAAAGGTGATGTCTTCAGACAGCTTTTGAAAATGACTTTCATCTAGAAAAATAAAATCCTATTTTTACAAAGTATACAAAATGTCATATCTGAAATATTTTACATTGCAAACATTAACGACTATGATTGCATTATTCATAATCTTTTAATCCCTGTAACTTCTTAAGCAATATCTTTATTGAGTAATAATTGTGAAGACTCCGTGTAAAATATTCTCAAAATGTTAATTTTATTGATCTTATAGACATTAGTTGTTATTGGCTTTGAACTAGCTGTAAGTAACTGCGAGTACTCGCAGATCTGTAATTAGTGTCTTTTTGTTGTGGGGATGTATAAGTACCCTGCCATGTCCACTCTGTGTTTTTGTTACTTGTTTTTGCTATGTATCTATCATGAGTTAGGCCCTTTTCAACTGATTTTTATAGTTTGTTCATATGTTGTACTGTCCCAGGTTAGGTAGAGGGTTGGGCGCCCGCGAACATGTTTAACCCCGCCAAATTCTGTATGTGTCTGTCCCAAGTCAGGAGCCTGTAATTCAGTCGTTGTCGTTTGTTGCTGTTTATCATATTTGGTTTTCGTCCATTATTTTGTACATAAATCAGGCCGTTAGTTTTCTCGTTTGAATAGTTTGCTCATTGTCGAAAGCCGCACGGAGACCTATAGTTGTTAATTTCTGTTCCATTTGTGGAGTGTTGTCTCATTGACAATCATACCACATCTTCTTATTTTTATATATTCCATTTCTTGAATTTAGTGAAATAAAAGGCGTAATGAATAAAGTTTTATTATGAGATTATAAGTGACGTTTGTATTTGTTTTTTAAGTTTTCCTATAAGAGAAAAAGCTTATCCCCCACCCCCCAATTACCACAACATATATCACAACTAGTTGACTGCCAATCAACTATGCATTAACAACCCAGTAGTGAATACAACATCTCAGATACTGTTATTTTCTCATTTTTATAGAAGGAAAAAACTACTAATTTATTAACCAATTTTAACATTAACCTTTGTTTGCTACTATCGTAGCTTCTATATTAAGGTTATATCTTCCAATGAAATATATACACGTGTGGCTTTATTAGTTTTACTGGTGAAGGTTTACCCTAAAGAACATCACATTGTACACTTCCTTATCCTGTATCATATCACAAATGGTATCAAAGAGATGACATAATATTATCAGGTTTAAACCTTTGATATGATATGACAAGTTTACTGAGAACATTCCTATAACAATATTGTGTTACCAGTATATCATGTGTATTAAACGGAGGAACTTAAAAATTTTGAAGTATAACCTTTATCGCTTTTCACATTGCTAAAATGAATTAACTAAAAAGCATCTACCAAAAAGCCTAAACATCAAATTTGATATCCATTCTTTTATGTTATTCATTCTACATTTTTACATTAACTTTCTGTTCTAAATTAAACATATCTTACAATTATAGCTTAACAGTAACTCCACTTCTTCATCTTCGTAGATATCTAACGATGACACAAGGTTTACCTGAATTAATACAGATCAGTAATTACCATACATGTAAGTGTGTTTCTTTTACTTTATAAATTTGCCATGCAAAGTTTTACATTATCGATCCAGTGAAACATAATATTGATCAATATTGCATTGTAAACAATGAAAGTATGTAAAATTTTATGTAAAATTTAATTTTTGTGCGTCATTTTAAAGAATGAACATTTAGCTCTATAATCCACCATTTTCTTCATAAGGAAATGCCCGTACCAAGTCAGGAATATGATAGCTGTTTTCTATTCGTTTGATGTGTTTGAATTTTTAAAATTGATTTTTTTAGTGTCATTTTGAAGAATGTACGCTTAGCTCTATAATCTACAATTTTCTACATAATGAAATGCCTGTACCAAGTCAGGAATATGACAGCTGTTTTCTATTCGTCTGACGTGTTTGAACTTTTGATGTTGCCATTTGTTAAGGGACCCTCCATTTTATATTTTCCTTGGAATTGGGTATTTTTGTTATTTTACTTTTGAATATCATAGAACATTTAGAAACTGATGCCAGAAAATACAAATTTTCAACTTTACAAGAAATTATCGACATATGACTTTTTCTTCAGAAAACGAATGAACTATTTTTCACATAGGATTGCTTGCATTATTTAGTGAAAAAATAGTGACAGTTATTACTGAAAAATATATGTTTATAATCTTCTCTTATTGTTAATAAATAAATAAAATACATCAACATATAGATAAAAATTAGGGATGTCAACTCGGTGAACAATTACTAATCGAGTACTCGTTGGTTTCATCGAGCGATACTCGAGTAATCGCTCGGGAATATATCTACAACAGGGGAACACGTATTTTACATTCTGTGGTTTGTTGTTCAACGGACGAAAAACCATCAACATAAGAAACTGGGACAAGGAATTACACACCATACTTAATAGCTCATTAGGTACAAGTACTAATTAAGTAAAACAACAATAATCTTATCAAATAATTCAATGAGTACTATTTAAAAATCATAACAAGGAAAAACCATATCAAACAATAGTATATGGTAATCGTTAAGAAAACACATTTAATGCTTACAAAGGCGTAAGGATTAGAAGTGTAACTACTCAGTCACTGAGGATCCCCAGAGGATTCAACGAATTTATTCTATTTGGAAATGTTTTCTTGTCAACAATTATTGGGGACAGTCGGATTTGCAATTTGTAAATTACACTCTTGCACTTGTAGACGAAAATATTTTTTCTGACGGTACTGATTTGACGGAATGTCTAAGACATGTTTAGTTTAAAGTGTTAGCCTAGGTATAGCCAACGTATTTTCGGAGACATCTTAAATGATAACTTAGCGCAAGCATTCGAAACAAAATGTATTTTATTTACTAGTAGGTTATTCGGTGATGCCTATTTAATTTTCCGAAAGAAAATTTCAAGAAGATCAATTTTATATAAAGAAGACAGCAATATTCTAACATGAAACCGATTAGTCGAGTAACGTTTTGGTATTCGATACTCGGTACGACCGAGCGATACTCGAATATTCGAGTACTCGTTGACATCCCTAATAAAAATATATAATACCTTGTTGGCATCAATACTGTACATCTGTAACGTATCACCATTTTTCTCGTTTATTAAGTCAAACTGATTTTTGTACCCAACACATATTTGGTTATCATCTTTACTACCATCGATCAATGTTATAAGTTGAGGCACTTCGAAAGACTGCAGTTCCTGTGAAATTAAAGACATATAAAGTTATCAACGGATGTTAGAAATCTGCATACTAGTGTAATAAAGTGTATTACGTGATTCAAATTTTAATTAGTACAGACGATTTACTACACATAAATATATATATATATATATATATATATATATAAAGTGCCTAGAAAATCAACCTAAAAATGTTAGAGTAGATTTGATTCTTTCTTTCCTCCCCGAGCGGGGCTGGAACCTGTACTTTTCACTTCATACTTCTACGGTAACACCGCCTAGCATTGCGCAGACACCTTATCCCCTCCTCTAACTATAGCTGATAAAAATCAGCTTACGTTTCGGGAGGTTTCACCTTCTCGTAGGAATTAAACAAGGACATCTAGACGCAATACACAAAGTATTTTTAAGTGTACAGAAATGATCATCTACTCATCTCTTTAGTATAATTACAGGATGCTGTACTATTTTTAGAAGCATACAATCACTGTAAATTTATATATATGTATGTTGCCTATGTGTAGTGACAACTGTAAATTATACCTTATCCATCGGATTTCTTATGATTAAGAAATACCAGGCTTTAGAATATTTATAAAGTGCCTAAAAAATCAACCTAACAATGTTAGAGTAGATTTGATTCTTTACTTCCTCCACGAGCGGGGCTGGCACCTGTACTTTTCACTTCATACTTCTACGGCAACACCGCCTAGCATTGCCCAGACACCTCATCCCCTCCTCTAACTATAGCTGATAAAAATCATAAGCTTTATATATATATATATAAAGACATCACACATTTTCATATATAACGACCAGGTACTCCAACCAATATGGCCCATTAGGGTTCTGCATAGGAACACATTTTTTTGTAGTTTTCTGTTTTCAATGAGGTAGATCAGAATTAGCACCGATTCTTATATTTCATTCATAAATGTACTCATGAGTGTAGCGATGAATGTCAGCTTTACAAAGCAATCGACAAATCTATTACAGTAAGGAAGGTCCACGAAAGTGACAATTTCCATCATTTCCATCACCAGAAAGAACTCTTACACAACACGCTTTTTTACGTCGTTTTCGCGTTTTATAAGCAAACTGGATCTACACAACATTGAACTGACCATGTTATTTAACTGAATAAGCACCAATAAACTCTTAAAAGGAATTATATATATATAAAGAAGAGAGCAAGAGTGTTATCAAATTGATGCTTACCCTAACAAATGTAAATTCATTGGCAGGCTCAATATCGACAGTTGGACACCATGATGTCCATGCGGAAGAATGTTTCCATGTGAACAACAATAGACGTCTTTGTATAGCAACTATCATCCTAAGGTATCTGGACTCTGGTCGACTAAGAGCATATAAATGGCAGCCTAAAAAGAATTGTTTACAAAATGGTAATTTGACATATTGACAGATAGTGCATAGCTGCTGGTTGACGATAAGTCTTTGCGTTAACCATCCGCTATGTAGACAGTATTTAAGTTACAGTCGGATTCGCATAAATCAATTTGCGATTAAATTTAGTGTTCATAGAATAAATAGAATTTTGTGAATGTGCTTCAGTGGTTGCCGTATGTTCATGTCTGTCATATTTGTTTTTCGTAAATTGTTTTGTTATACATTAGTCCGTTAGTTTTCTCAATTGAATTGTTTCTTAGTTTCATGTCGGGGCCTTTTGTAGCCGACTATATGGTAAAGGGCTTTCTCATTGTTGTACGATTGTCTGTAAGTGCCTACATCCACTTCATTTGAACTTTTGTGTATATTTGTCTCATTGGCAATCATACTACAACCCCTGATATTTACATTAATCTACGGTTGCAAATCTATGCAACAGTAGATTACTGATGTTCAAATCTCATAAACCGATTTAGAAGTGCATATCAAGGTTAAAAACTAAAACTAAGAACTTGCATTCACTCAAAAAGGAGCAAGACTGGGTGCGCCAATAATGAAAGCATCTTCTGGTGCATTCATAACCCGCCATGTGAATCCACAATCAGTGAAAATGGAACAATCTGTCATAAGTCACAACTCTGTCAGGAAAATTTGACATAAGATATGTCTTGGCTGTTCTCATTTGGCACTTGTGGTATTTGTTCAATAAATTATTGAAGACCTTGTAATTTTTAATTCAAAATGGTATTATTGATATTAAAACTTACTACATAAAGGCAACAGTAGTATACCGCTGTTCGAAACTCATAAATCGATAGAGATAAAAACAAATCCGGGTTACAAACTAAAACTGAAGGAAACGCATCAAATATAAGAGGAGAACAACGACACAACAGAAACACAACATTAAAATGTAACAAACACAGAAACGAACTATAATATAACAATGGCCATTTTCCTGACTTGGTACAGGCCATTTTAAGAAAAAAATGGTGGGTTCAACCTGGTTTTGTGGCATGCCAAACCTCCCGCTTTAATGGCAACGTCAAACACAACACCAAAACGACAACATCACATGACAGGACCACAATACAAATAAATGGGAGAACATATAGGACAAGGAAACACACGGATAATAGCTAACAAAAGGTACTAGGCTTAAAATTCAAAACGCCAGACGTGCGTCTCCTCCACACAAGACCATCCAGTGACGCTGAGATGAAAAAAGCTTGAAAGCCAAAACAAGTACAAAGCCGAAGAGCACCGAGGACCAAAACTTCCAAAAAGTTGCACCTAACACGGCCAGGGTTTTCTGCCTGGGACAAGAACATCCTTATTATTTAGAATAATTTATAATTTTGCAAACAGTAAATTTTATAAAATGACTATATAATAGATATACATGATAAAACCGAAGTGGGGACTAACTACAGAATAAAAACGGATACATTACATAAAACAACTTAATCCAACATATAAAAATACACAGCCGAGTTAGCCAAAGCATCAACGCACAAAGTGACGTCACATTTGAAATTCTAAAAAAAACACACAAAGTAACGTCACATTTGAATTTGTAAAAAATATTTCCCAAAAATAAGATAGGATTAGGATTGATTCAAGATTAGATATGTAATACTGACATTACATTTATTAATAACAATGAAAATTACAATACTCATTAATATCAAATTGTGGTAGTAATTAGATAATTAATTGTATTATCTAGCTATGTCGGTGTTTCTTCTGAATCAAACTGTAAACCAAATATATCGTATAAATTTCGTTGAACCAAACTAAAATCTTATAAATGAAGGGGATGATTAATTATCTTTACCATAACACACGAATATAACAGAAAAGACGTTAAGACATTTGACAAAATCCGACGAGAATAACAAATATAACATCAAAATTAAATACATGAATTTGGGATAGAAAGGTACCGTGACACGTCTTATAGCAATGCGGTTTCACACTCAGCAAAACAGTCACAATCGGGAATAAGTCACGTTCGGTAATTAAAAGATCAGACGACGTAATGACAAACCACAATCTAACACGTGGTAAAAATATCCTTAGTTAGTTTGGACAAAGACACATCGTATGGACTAACCAATTCGTGATGGTGTCCGTAAAATTTACGGAGTGTCATTTTTAATCTGTCCTCCTCGTAACTTTTTTGGAGCAGTTTCTGTGTAAGGAGCACACTCCTGTATATGAAGTCCGTATAGTGTGAACAAGCACGAGAATAACGTATCAATTGAGATATGTAAACACCATACGAAGGGGCAGAGGGTATGTTACTGCTGAGAAATGGGAAATTGATAATTGGGAAGTTGAAATCGTCCCGTTTATCATAGATTTTCGTGTGAAGTCGTCCATCTGTGTCAATATTGAGGAAAAGATCAAGGTATGAAGCAGTCCTTCTAGTATCAGTAGTATCCTTAATTTCAAGTTCACTGGGATATATGAGATGTAAGTATTGGCTGAAATATGAGTTATTCAATGATAGAACATCATCAATATATCGGAAAGTAAAATTAAAGAATTTCGCAAGGTGCTTTTTCTTTTTGTCTTTTAGAAGGTTTTGAATGAATTCTGCTTCATACGAGTACAAAAACAAATCGGCCAGTAGGGGTGCACAATTAGTTTCCATTGAAATACCGACTGTCTGTTGAAATATAAATCCTCCAAACTCAACAAATATATTGTCGATCAAAAAGTCCAGCATTTTGATAATATCATCCTCAGTATATTTTCTGGTAGATTCAGTGTGGTTTTTCACAAAATATGAATTATTGTAACCCAAAACAAGAAATTTGTATCTACGATTCCCATTTTTATAGAAAAAGATCTGTTTAATGAGATGGTGAAGTCGATCTTTCAACTGAGCATGGGGAATAGTAGTGTAAAGCGTAGAAAAATCAAAAGTCTTTATGTTGCTGCAAAATTGCAAAGATTGTGATCGAAGATTAAGCAGTAGATCTTTCGAATTTTTGAGAATCCACATCTGGTTAACACCACTGGTAGAATATATCTCATCACAATATTTTTGAAGCCCATCTTTAACTGTAGAAAGAATAGTAGTCAGTACTTTAGAAAGATGTTTAGTCGAACATTTTGATGACCCAGCTATGTATCGTTCTTCATATGGAGTTTTGTGTAGTTTTGGTATCCAGTATAATGATGGTAAATTTTCTTCGTTTTCTTTGATGTTGATACCAAAAGAAAGAAGGACAGATTTGTGATTTTGTAAAATTTCGTCCTTGGTGAATGATGTTAAAGAATATTTAGGGTTACCAGTAGTTCTATTTATTCCAAGCTCTGTTGTGAGACATTGCAAATAATGGTTTTTACATATGAAGACAATATTATTGGAGGCTTTATCTGCTGGAACAACGACATATTTGTCATGCAAAGAGGATAAAGCATCCACAACATCCTGATTTTTGAAAGGGTTAGTAACTCTTGTGCTCATATTGCATCGTAGTTTTTGAATGCTCTTCTAAATGCATGATCAAATAGCTTTGATCCATTCAGACAAAGTGTCAAGGTCTGGTTCGTCTGGTTCGCGCTTTACCCATTTTCTTGTACATGTTTTTTCTTTAAATATTGTATCACATTCAAAAATAAACAAAATATAAGGTCCTAAAATGAATATTTGAAAAGAAAATAACCTTTGGTCTTCTCAAGTGTGTGATCTTTAAACTCTGTACGACCTCTTATTACTTCTTCATTGCTCTCTCCTTCAAAGTCAACAAGTCTGAAAATAGCTATTTTCCCATCTTTTCCTGTTGATTGAAAATTTAAAAGAAAATCATACAAGGCAGATGTATCTTCACTGCTGGAAATATTAGATTAGACAAAAAGCACCTGCTCATATCATCTTCTATTTTCTATATAATTATTTTATGAAGTCTACTATCTCCGGTATAATTTCCTTTACATCAGCAAATTTTGAAGAATACTGACTAGTTAGGAACAAAAACCTGATCAATCAAATTGTATGCCATGCTAGGCAATATTCCGTGTATTCAACGCACTTCTCGTTTTAAGTTCTTTAAATTGGATATGAAATGATTTTTGTGAGAATGCAACTTAGGAATAATACTGTGTTAATGTTCATATTCGTGTGTTTAGGTTTTAATTAAAGTAGAACAATTGACTTTTTTTATATAGATAAGTCAATGAAACTTAATTAAGCAATTTCTTGATATATTATCAAATTCCTTAAAAAAGAGAAAGAATGCGAACTTTAGAAGTTAATTTTCAATACGGAATCTTGTCTTAGCTTATCATTGTTTATATTTGAGGGCTTTTGTCCAATTAGAAATTTCGTCTTGACTCCAGGTTGTACTAGTCATTGTTGAATTTATTAATAACTTGTTTAATGTCAAGATGATTTAGAGCTAAACAAAAATAGTATTGTTATTGAAAATGTTTTCTACTTGAGTTCTAAGATTATTTCTTATATAATTGTGTTATTGGGATGCTCCCTCTTATTAATTAACCCTTCACATTTCTCCATTATTTACTTTTATATTTCAAAACTGATTAAAATTTGAATAACATAAGAAGAGTTTCCCATTAGTCTATTTACCTTTATCCATCCTACATATTAAAATACCATAGTCTTCTATTACATCTAGTTGCCTTACTGGAATTGTCTTATCAAACAACATTCTAGACGGTGCTCCTTCTAAAATGGTAAAAAGTTAAATGAGAACCTGATATCTGATGACAAAACAGATGAAAGCAATACATAAGGACTACTCCGAGACACAACATTTTCGTGATAAATTATCATTAACCTAATAATGAGAACATTGATATCAAAATCATAAAATTAATATCACGTGACGTCTGTACAGTAGAAAGGAAGGTCAGTGTATATTCGAGCCATCCTGGGTTTGTTGATTAACAATCATTAGTAATTCGCAGCTTGTTTTCACCTTACATGTTGTCTGAGGTATAGAAGTATGTTTTCATGTTAATTTATTCTCGTCATTTATATGTAATATCTGCCCATTGACTTTACGAAAGCAACAATCAAGCAATACATCTTATTTGTATTAAAGATGTGATAAGACCAGAAAACATGACTAATTGTTTGGTTTTTCAATTTCTAATGCCAATTGAAAACACAGATATGGTTAAGTGTTAAAAAAACCCTCGTGCAAATATACACGTATGATTTAATCTACAATTATGAGATTGTGAAATATATTTTTCTGTGTATGTTTTGTAAATCATACAATGTGGAAAATGTTTGTTTGTTCTCATAGTAAGTTGTTGTTGATTTTTTAACTGTACATTGCTTAAATAAGGTTTAAAGGAATGAAGTCACATACATACCTTCTAAAAGAAGCATTCCTGCGTCTGTTGCCAGAACAAGCTTGTCGCCTACAATATCGATATACTTATTAAGATATCTGTATTACACTTAGAACGGTGGCTTAAAACCCTGGCTCATTGCTTGACAATTGAGCCAGGCCTAATACAACGACATGCATTCGTTTATTGGATGTTAGAGTGAGGCATCGTGGGATTGCATTATTTCTTGACATATTGCGGGAAATAATAATATTGCCAAGAATTTATTGAAAATTATTTTCAAATTCCTTAAAAACGCAAATTCCAGAAAAATATGGCAAAAATAATCCAAACAATAGGATTTATATCGTGAATCTCCAGTATTTAAACTATGCGAAAGATATATTTATTGCTTATATAACACGCAAATGAGCAGTAATTCAGTCTTGAAAAGTGGTCATATGGATTGTATTACTCCTGGACGTATTGACGCGAAGAGGAAGCTTGACCAGGATGCCAGGCTATGAGAACTGTGGTAGTAAAAGTGAATTTCTTTTAGGAAATTTGATTCTCTTGTTTTAAATATTTCATTCATAATTTGTTACCCCTCTGGTTTCATTCCAGTCTTAAAAACGTACATGTATATTAAATACATCTGTTTATGGTTTAAAAAAAATCCAGTTATTTCTCATATGTCATTCATTTAATTTAATTCATTTCATCCTTAACAATCCATCTAGGAAATCCTTAGTGATCGCTCTCTTGATTCTAAGGTCATTTTATATACTCTCAGTTTTTTATGATTTGTATATCAAAAAAGGATTTACTAGTATTAAACATCTGTATACTACTATTGCTCTTACTTCACGTCCCCACCCCCTCCCCCCCCAAATGATGGTAATTGTTCAAATTCTTGACCACTTAATTGATCTCATATGGATTTTATATTGAATTAGCATTTTTAATGAATGTGTTGGTATTTTGAATATCAGCAGTGAACATCCCCAAATGTTAAACGTCACTATAACATGAGAAATAACATGAGAAAACGAGTAGATTGCCTAAACATTTCAAATCATATTTATGAAAAAAATTCCGTGCAAAGCTGTATCATCAATTCTAAATTTAATCTTTGTTTCACTGACGTGTTCAATGAATCATAAAACTGATTCTCCAGTATGATAATTTAAATTTACACCATGACGTCATTAATTGTAATTGGAAATCCTGCATTTGTCATGCGTTATTATACAATATGATCAAATTGCAGAAAGATTCCTCTCCTGAATTATAGAAATCTATCATTTTGCAATTATCATAATATCCGGGTGTAAATAAGATAACCAACTCGTACAAACACCCTGACTCAAGGGTGTATCTAATACATAAAACCATTGCATGAGGATATTATTCATACACTGTTCATAAACATCTAGCTACTTTACAGATTTATTAATTGCATTAAAGATATTTGACATTTGAAATAATTCTAGATTTGTATAATGCAGTTGAGAATTATAGTAAGTACTCTTAGAGTAGGAAAAGTTAGTAAACGGGAAAATCAAAATTAATTTATTAGTAAAAGGTAGAGTAAAACTTTAAGTTTAAACAGGAAACCTGAAATTCAAATTTCGCAGCATTGTGTAATCATTTTACAAATTAAAAATGATAGTTAACTTCTATGCAAGACTCCGCACTACATTTAAGAAACTTATTCGAGATTTCCCGTTTAAAAATCTTTATCAAAACGATATGACTGTTGATGATTCCATTACACATACAGGTACGAAAGGTGATGTATACTAACGCCGACGCCGTTCAAAGTCAAATTTCAAAATGAATCTTATTTTGATTTAAAGAATCAGTATCATGACTCTCACTGTTATTAGTTTATCTTGTTATTTTCGCAGACATACTTTGCTGTAAAGATAATTAACTGGTTCTGTTTTATGATGCGAAGGTATTAATCAAAGCATATTAATCAAATAGTAAATCTTACCCCAAGAATCACCACAATGTATTTGATTTGGAAAATCCATAAAACACTCTTGCGGTTCCCAGGGCTGCAAAAGAGTTGAAAATTAATTCATTAGTGTTTCAAAACTGTAATTACTTAACTGAATAAAACAAATCTAATAATAAATAAGATGAACGCCTAGTACATTTGAAAATATATCAGCCTTAGGTATTAAAGCTTTTCCTGAAAAATTAGATAAATAATTATTATAGCGTACTTGCAAACATTTCTAGAAAAACTTAATTGCATTAGACTTATAATCTCAATATTCAATTCCAATGACCAGATTCTAGATTAATTTGCACTGTGCATAACATGCTATATATTTAAAAATAAACTCAGAGCTATAATTTCATTGAAAAAAAAACGCTACTGTCAACATTTACTTATTTTTATCGAAAGTATATGATGTATAATACTACTAGTCATAGTCCATTGTATGCGTCATATGAATAATATGGAGTCTCATATTGATACATTTCACGATATAAGTAGATTAATGAGAATATAAGATGATTACCAAATTAAAAGTTGAAAAAAGCTAACACAAATATTAGCTGTAGATTTAATAGATACAAACCTGAAGGAAATATGCAGTATCAAAGGTTTTTTTTTTATAAAAGTAAGTAATGGCGAAGAAGGCTGTGACATAGCAGAGCTGTCTTGTTAAATTGGTGGCTTTGCATTTAATATAAACACTTTCTATTTTCAGAGCTTTACTATGTATGAAAATATATTTGCGCCAGTTGACTTAGTCACTTTCTATGAAAGCTGTTCTATTGTAACGCAAAAAAAAAACAAAAAAAAAAACGGAAAAATAATTCTGCAATGGGAACTTGATTTATTAATAACAGTACCTCTCTTTTAAGTATTCCAGTCGTTACTGTGCTGGTTGGAGCATCACCTTTCAAAATAGTTTTTAACTTCAAAGTCTGAAATTAAAAAAAAAAACAAAATACAATTAAGTACTAAACAATAACTTAACAGCAACTTTTCCCCTAAAAAAACAACAAAAAAACAAAATAAATAAAACCCCCAAAAATGGACAGCTATGAATTTGTTAGTTACATTTACGTGCATAACTCTCAACATCGGACTTGAACTATTATCATTTTTCTCATATACGACACAATACGGTTACAGTAATATGTTTTCACAGAGATTGCTTACTCTTTCAACACATCTGTGTTCATCCAAGTCTGAAGTGGGTTTTATTTATGTCGATATTTTTTTTTTGTAATGTTTTGTTGGTTCAATTATGTTTCTCTAGTCACTTTATCACTAGTTTCCTTCGATTTGTAGTTTCTGAGTTCCCTCCAAGACTCGTCATTCATAAGCTATTGTTGGTGTAAAAAAATGAATGGTCTGAATGTTGAAAGGTCTGACATTACATTCGCAGCTTGGAATCGCCTGTCGGGTGATTAATGCATAGCAGGATACGCTTACACTGACGACGCACCAGGTACCACTCCAGTTAAAGTTCATGCGATTCTTTCAGTGTTTTTATCTTGATTTATGTATTTAAAATGACTTAAAGAACATCGATAGTCAGCTGTTGACTATTACTAATTATCTGTTAGAAATCAGCATATCTGTTTATTATGTTCATTTACACCTGCTGAGAAATCTACCATGAGACGAATATAAATGAAAGACTTTTCCGGGTAACATATGTTTGTTTATGATATTTCTTTGTATTGATCAAAGGTAAAAATAAAACAAATAATGTATGATATCAGCATATCCGTCTGATGTTTCAATAATTGTCATATTTTCCCCATGGAATAGATCATTAATTGACGAAGAATCTGCTCCAAAATAAGTCTTGTGACCTTTTGACTTTTAAAAAGCAGGGTGAAGATGCAAAATTCATAAAAATAACTTGACAATGATTCACAAAAACCATATAAATAACTTATCGAATATATGTATGACTACTATGGTTTGCAATTTATGTATGATGTCAACACTATATATTATTTAAAAGAAGGAGGTGGATATGCCAAAGGGAGGATGAAAACGCGTAAGTCCAAGAGACAGAAAGAATCATTGCAAAACCGAAACACGACGAAAAGACAATATTCATCAAAAATATCATACGAATAACTCGTGTCAATTTTTTACAAAACAGTGTCGGAGGGCTTATAATTTGTATAGACTGATAGCTCAACAGCGCCAATATATACGCAGTATAAGTAGTTAGAACAAAATATACCAATGTTACTGGGCAATGCAACAGTCTGCAAGATAATTACTTAGTTTTAATGTGTCAAACTATCAATGCCGCAAAGTTGGAATTTCTTTTTGCAAATGAAAATATGTGTTTTATACTAGCGAAAACTGTAATGAAACTGATATAAATCGAAAATGTATTTCATACCCATGATAGTTTAAAATAGAATTGTCTTATAATCTCTCATAATCTCAGTATAATATTATCATATTGTATATTCTATCTGTAACAATCAAAGAGGCTTGAATAACGTATTTGTCTTGTCTTGCTAGTTTTTCAAATTACATAAATAAGGAAAACACTTTCGAAGCTCAGCATGTGGTATCTGATAATCATATAATCGTGGTATTAAAAACAGTAACCAAATAATCAATAAGTCATTTCTGTAAATATGGCAATTAAACAGCTTATCGTCATAAAGATATTAATAATTAATCATCATAATTTAGACCATTTATCATACAATTAGCATAAAATTAAAATATTCACGGGAAAATCAACCGCAGAGACCCATCATCTAATTTAGTGTTGCCATGAGTTATCTTTGATTTGGTCGTAATTATGAATTAACTGTTTACAAAACTTTGATTTTTTTCGAAATACTAAGGAATTTCTACCCCAGGAATAGATTCCCTTAGCTTTATTTGGTAAAACCTTTCGGAAATTTGGGTCCTTAATGCAGTTTAATTTCGTACTTTATTTGACATTTTTAACTTTTTTTACTCGAGCGTCATTAATGAGTCTTATGTAGACGAAACTCGCGTCTGGCGTAAACAAATTTAATCCTGGTATCTATGAAGAGTTTATTAGTCAAGTTTACTACTGTGCCTGATATTCAAACCTACAATAAGTTTAAACTTTCGAAACAGATCAAACACATTTTTTCTTCCAGTATTGAATTTTATACAATATGTTTTAATCAGTCATATCTACCTGCCCGACTCTAACAAATTCTGCCCGTCTTGCTTCTTCTTTCCGCGAACTTTGGACATCTTGAATAACATCACTAAATGCTCGCCGGTACAACATATTATTCTACAAAAAGTACATAACATATATTAACCAATATATACTGCGTATGCCTGTCACGGTCTCTGTTTTAATTTGACAATATACAGTTGTCACAAGGGACCTGTACAGTCTGGTGTAAATATCCAGCTTCTTGCAATATGGGAATTTAATGAATATCTGACGTTGTTATGTCATAAATATTACGGGTTCAAATACATGAAATAATCAAAGAAGGAACCAGTCCGGAATAGAATTACCAATGTCGGCCTTGCAAAAAAAGAGTAATTTATCTAGCTCTTATATTGTGAAGTGTAAAATGATACATACAATGTTCAGTTATTCATTTCCGTTTGTTCGATAGTTTGTTCTTTGAACAATCATATTAAAGTCACCAATTTACAGAATTAATCTATGTGGTCATAGGATTTCTATTATTACGTTTCCAGGGTTAATTTCCCTCCGGTTAATTGATTTAATTAGCTATTCTTTCCAAAAATATATTTAAATGTGTATGTGAGCTATTGCTGTATGCTATTGTATACATATTTTGCATAATCAAACAGTGACAGAATAAAATGTGTTAACGCTGATTTTGACGGATATATATTTATTGTACTAATTGCTAAAATATATAATCATGTGTTATTAGGTAAGAGTTATAAGGAAACATTGTTTGGAGGGCAGTATTAATGGGAATGACCTATTGTCGTTCTCTGTGAGTAGATTGACTTAGTGGCATATATTAAAGTAGTTCATATCATATAATATCATCTGAGCACTCTGGGTATGTGATTCCTTGAATTGAATGAACTGGCATGTTTAGAATAGGTATCTTACATTTATTTATTCTCTGTTAATGAACAGTACATCCCAAATGGTATTATTGTTTACTGAGTCGCTAATTTTTTCAGATATTTCATATTTAAGGGCTTGATTAATAGAATGAGTTTTTTTTTATTTAATGCTTCAAATAATTTACATTTTTTTGGGGTTTAATTTTATCAACAGTCACACGTACCTATTGAGTTCAATACTGCAATTTGAACTTTTTTATAATTGGATTGCAGTCTTGTAAATATTTAACCAACATCTTTGTCTAATTAGTTCTTTATTAGATATTTATGAAAAAATAATCAGCAAAATCCTTGCTTTGTTGTCTTGCTTTTCAAATGTGTAAACACTAAGGTTTGATGAGTTGGCAGTAACAATAGAATGAAACAACCAATGCATTTAAACAGAGGCGACATGTATTTTAAACCTATTTATTTTTATCAAAATATTGGGCCAATTCGTTGTTCATTCTTTATCAAAACTAATCAAACATTGGCAATCATACCACTTCTCTTTATTTTTATAAAGCTTATAATTTGGAATGCCAGACACGTGTTTCGTCTACTAACGACAAAAGTAAAGGCAACAGAATCAAAACACTTGAAGTAAATATTTCAAATATTTTGTGGGATATTCGACTTATGCCATATATAATTGATGATAGAAAAACAGTTAGTGTTTTGGATAATGTAAACATTCTACGAAAAATTGATTTATAGAAAAATGACTGTGTTTACAAATTAAACTTGTCCACTTTATTTATAATGGCCGTGTATCAAAATTTTGAAGCTTGTTGGTCATTTCGCTTGTTTAGTGCATGACCTATGATTTTAATCTCATCTACAAATTTATTCAACTAATTACACAATTAACATAACGTTTACAACCGCAAGATTCTCCAATTTTAAAATCAATTCAACTCCGGAAATGATCCATATATTACCGTTGTGAATGAATTATTAGGTTTTATCCTATTGTAGCAACAACTACTAGTAATTGAAAATAGAAAATAGGTACGTTACATCATGAAACTGAACAATATTTTGTGATGTCACAAAAGGTGTCTGTTTTGGTTGAATCACACTGATCATGATACTGATCAAACAATATTGTGTTCCTAAAGATTCGACAAAGAAACATATTCCCACAAAATACTACAATATGACAATAAAATATTTTTAATTCCTTTCCACATAGCACCAAAGCACAAAGATTGTTGGTCCTATTAGAAGGAACATCTTATGATATAAGTACATCTCAAAACAGTATAATAGGTCAATATATCATTTCATAATCTATATATATGCAGACATAATATTTTACTGTACTGAATGGCCAAGTAGCAAATTAGTGAACATTACTATTCAACTTTATGAGAAAATACTGCTAAAAGCAACGAACAGCCCTTTCGTAGAGGGAGGGAAAAACATAATCATTTCTAGACTAAAGAAGATATGCTGTGTATGATAATTTTAATCAAAAGTCAAGAAATATCCACATCAATTTATCAATCACTATATAGCTATACAGAAGTGTTTTTTTATTTGTATGGGAGGTAATGCTCAATCTATTTGATTTTTTCTCTCACAGATGGTGGCAAAAAGTTATGTGAGCAAATATGATTTCATATTTTCTTTCCTGGCATTGGGAAAGTAAAATAAGTGTAACAAAAATATCAAACTCCAAGGCGAAATTAAAAGGAGGAAGTCCTCAAAAACTGACAAAGCCATACATTATCAACCAACGAGTGAAAAACAACTGTCATATTCCTGACTTGGTACGGGCATTTTCAGACGAAAATGATGGGTTAAACCTGGTTTTATAGCTTGCTAAACCTCCCAATGATATGACAGTAATTTTAATACGAAAAAGTGTATATATTTTGATTGGAATAAATATAACCAATGTTATAACTTTGAAGAATAAGGGGTTTCAACCGATATGAAAATCAAATCATAAATTTGAGTGACCTATATAAAAAGAGATACAATATCATAAAGTATAACTAATAAAAATACTTAATTAAGTGTTTACCTTGTTGATTTCTGACATATAAACTTGGTATAGATTTTTAATTAACATTTCCAACGTTCGTTCTCTCTTTTGTGCAAATAAAGGGTTATTTATTGCCGCCTTTTCACCATTTATTACTGAAATAAAGATAAAATAGAAGATGGAAATGCAATTACGCGAAAATAGTCTTGACTAATGGGCTTTGATCGCCATTAGTATCAGCTGTCTTGTCTGATGACTAATAACCGATTTACATAAGAATGGATTGTTTATTTCCCAGAATAACTTCGACAAAAGGCTGACTATTTATTTTTGCCAAATATGTCAATAAAATAGCAAAATAAAACAGATACAACCCTAAATTATTATAGACAAATGCTTAACATGACACCTACAAACCTACGCGTCATTGTAATGTTTCCGTCATAAGATGCGCATCTCGGATCCTGTAGAAGTATCACGAAAAAATCTAACAAACACAAATGTTGTTTGAACATAAAAATATTGAAGAATTAATGAACCCAAATTTGCACATGGTAATAACACATAATCTACACCTCTCAGTTTTGGTGTAATTTTATGGATGAGAAACTATCTACTGATTTTTAACCTTTTAATTCCATAGTTTTCTATCATAAAAAAACTCACAAGTCACCAGTAAAAAATCCCTAAACTCTCGATGGACATAAAAATATTGAAGAACTAATGAACCTAAAAGTGCACATGGTAATAACACATAATCTACACCTCTCAGTTTTTGGTGTACTTTTATTGATGAGAAACTATCTTATGATTTTTAACCTTTAAGTCCATATTTTTCGATCATAAAAAAACTTACATTTCACCAGTAAAAAATCCCTAAACTCTCGATGGTCGTAAAATGTCGGTGGTGACGGCAGAGGTGGCCCAAATAACGGAACAGATTCTTCTGAAAATACGACGAGCCTACAAAAAATAATATGTTATTCAATTTTAACTGCCATACACGAGGTTAAGACGAAGTTTTCATATCAGATTTAATTCACGAATTCTTCATGATTGTAGTAGGGGTCAGCATTCATGTTCATAATATGTAACAAAATGACTTGATACCGGGTAAACTTAGACTTGTTTTCCCAAACATCTTCGATTCAGCACCTCTATATGGAGTATATAGTATTTAGTTGATACGACATTACAACGCTTTTATTTCTATACAACATGTCATTGGTAGATGGTTTCTGCAGAAAAAGAAACTACTGATTCGATGGTTCTTGATGGTACAATTGAAGTCAGAATCTAACGGATGCCATACTGAATTGGTTGACCGTCAGTGAATATCTGTGTCATATGTTACATGTGTAACCAAACATGAACATGCTACATTTTTCGAAATACCAAAGTACCGCCATCCTTCCCGCGTACATTAAAAGCTTTATGAAGGTATACATTATATCATTGCATTTTGCTTACCATATATAATATGAGTAGTGTCAGTATTTGAATAGGAACTATTTACTTCCGGAAATCGAAATCACAACAAGGTTTCGGTATTGTTATTGTCAAAATCTTTAGTTTTCTGTGAAATGTTATACGAAAAAAGTCAAATAACAAAAATACCGAACACCGAACTCCAAGGAAAATTCAAAACGGAATGTCCCTTATCAAATGACAAAATCCTTAGCTCAAACACAACAAACAAATGGAAAACAACTGTCATATTCCCGACTTGCTACAGGCATTTCCTTATGTAGAAAATGGTGGATTAAACCTAGTTTTATAGCTAGCTAAACCTCGCACTTGTATGACATTCGTATAGAATTCCATTATATTATCACAATTGTGCGAGCAAACCAAACAGACATAATAGATAAAAATGTCAAAAAGTGGGGTACAGCAGTCAACACTGTGTTATAATCTTCATCACTTAAAACAAACAACTATGTCAACAATAAAAAAAAACAAAATGGCATATAGACACCCTATAAACAAAGCACATCAGCAAAAAATGAAAGACAAGAATACAAAAAATGACCATAGCACAAAAGCACAATGGCGGGATGTATAAATACCAAGCCACACCAAAAGGATATAACCAAAAATGGACTAAACAGTTAAGGTTAAAAATAAACAAAGACAATTAAAACGAACCTTGTAACACATAATTAAGACGATAAACAACGTCAGAACCTAGAATCATTACTTCAAGACCATCATGTATTATTTGTGAAGTTGATAAGGAATATTTATCCACAAGGTTTTGGTATCTCCCTATTTTTGATGCATTGTTTTTGTTTGTCCATTTGATTTGCACCATTGTGTTGTCTGTCCGTATTTGACTTATGACTCCTGATAGACCCTTGTTATCTTCGTTTGTTTATTAAAAAAAAGAGACAATAAACACCATGTATAAATCAACAACAAAGTCACGAATGTTTTCATATTCACATAGCATACTATTTACGAATGAAGCAAGTACAAGATATATAGCTATATGATTGGTCCGTTATATTTTTTTCCCTTGCTTTTTACTTTAATTTACCAAGTTTTGACGACACTACGATTGTTAAATAATTAAAAGACTGTGTCGATTTTACCTTTATATAGTCATGTGCATACAATAAGGGTTCATGAAAGGTAAAATGTAACGAAAAATAATTGTTTGGGTTAAAGATTATTAGAATTGAACACATCGTTTAATCAATTAGTAGTGCATCGTCCCAGTTTACACATCAATAACATCTAGAATAATTGTGTTTAATCATAAAATGTATTCAGAATTATTGACATGTAATATAGTGATAACGGAAGACAATTACAGATTTGCAACATTCCCAGCGTCAATCGTGTATACATAAAGATTTAAACAGTGGAATTTGATTGTATATAACAAAAGCATTGTAGTTATCTGATAGTACCAATTCAATAAATGTCTTGCTTCAGCTATAAAGTCGTTTGTGTGAATTTATGTCATTATGTAATGGGGTTTGAATGTTTTTCTATATCGATTAGGAATAACAGCAAAAACAAAATCTTAGAGTACATATTGAAGACGCTATCTTATTAAGATGTAATGAGTATAACAATTAAAAGCAAGAATATACAAATCGATAAAGAGGACAATTCTGAATTCTATACTTTGTGTCAAATCCTTTTGTCTTATTCCATATACCATAAAATATTTTAAACCATTAAAAACCGTCGGTAAAAAATTGTAAACAACAAAAAGTCAAAAAGAACAAAAAAACGAAATTACAAACAACATTACACATAACACTCCAAAAAACCGATACAGCAACCCCACAATAAAGGGGAAATCTTTAATTTAACTCGAAATCTAAGGTCTATAGACGTATTTTTGCCACATGGCCACGACTTTTGGACGAGATATAAGAAGCAGTTTTAAATTTAAAATTCAATTCCACCGCCCAATCTGTAGTGTTACTATCAGACACAATCTAATTAATATCCTACTTAATATTAGATTATCGGGAATAGACACAAAACAACCACCTGCACTAAATTGCAAAACAGTTGAAGACATGTCATTATTTGCATAATCAATCAATAGTTTGATTTTGTTGTCGGATACTGTACTATTAACTTTTAGCCAAAATGACTTTTATTTGGTCTGACCGATAAAACGAACTATATTACAAAGAAATTTTATAGAGAATTCTTTCGACTTTTTTGGTTTAATTCCTTTGTATGAAATTGAATGGAAAGTCAGCATTAGCACTGTAAAATATAGCGAATCGATCTGACAAAAAAAAACCCTCAGTTGTTTACCTTGAAAATTCTATTGCAAAATGGATTAATCAGAAAATGTATATAATAATTCATAACTTTGTAAAGTCTCTATCGCTTTACATGATTAAGTGGCTACATATAAATTAGCGTTACTAGATTGTTAATCAGCTCATAAAATAGTTTCATACTATTTTGACTACTTTTATTGACTGAATACACGCACACATAAATGTGCTTTCAAGAAATGCACTTCTACGATAAATATTATGAAGCAAATATGACTAACTAGTGGTAGAGTGATGGTTAAAGTATTAGGAAAGTTGAATTGTTAGTTCTCAAGAGGACCATTCGTCTAGTATCAAATGCTTCGGTAATGACACAATTAAGATTCTATGATAAATTTTCACGTTAACAATTTTTTGATAATGAATTCTAAAACGTAGTGTTGTGCGCATTCAAATTGTTGTAATAAGTATATGTTACAGAGGAAATCGTTCTTATATTCCTCAGTTTTCTTTGAAGTGGTCAAACCTGTCAACGATAGGTTAACAGACCAAGAAAATAGAATTGCCAATCCCGAATTGATGCAACTCTAACGAGACATTATTGACTCCAGTTATTTCATGTGGCAATTTTTTATTTTAACAGCTTACGATTTTCGAATGTCTTGTTACATTGATACAATTGACAATAATTTATTTCTGATGTAACACGTCTTCTGATTGGCTGAACGTTTTTGTCTATCACCTCATAGACATAATTTTGTCCTGTGACCGTGACGTCACCAACGTTTTTTTATGATTTACTCCTTAAAAATGGAATTTAGAATTAAATCATAAGGAATAACTGAAATATTTTTCTGTCTATTCGAAATAACATTAACAATGTGGTGCATACTTTAAAATAACGCGCTGCGCGGGTAATTCATTGTGCAACACACTTTTAATGTTATTTCTTCATCTACATAAAAATTATTATAGCCATTCCTTAAAAATACCAGCAAAGTGTTAACAAGTAATGATTCATGGAATAATGATAATAACTATCATAAATGGTTACCTGTAACTGTTATCCTGTGTACAATATACAACAACTGCAAATATATCTGAAACGCTAAGGAAATTTAAATTGAACATTTGTCTTTAATATCAAATACAAATTTATTCCGCATGATCGTACACTTTTGATATTGAAAGTATTTTAACATTATATGTTTTATATGATTTGGTCTACCACAATTTCAATATGAAAACATAAAAACTTTTTTTGTTCAACTTTAAAATATATTTCAAATATAATTTCTGTAAATTTGACAACCTAGCCCAATGTTTCTAATTACCCTCCCTACCAAATGTATATCAAATTCCTTGTTTCAATTCCAAAAGAACAAATTTTCTAAGCTAAAGCTAAATGTTTTCATATTGTAGTTCTTTGATTACCTTATACACGTTCCAACACAGTGACATATTGTGAAACAAGAATATGTGTCTTTAGACTATATGTTATTGCTGTTTTGAAGACTGAATAATAAATTATTAAGTTATGTTCAGTCTTTCTGTAAATTTTAAGACTGTTCGCAATTCACTTGCAGTTAATTCAGTACAGTTCGGTAGTTTTTTCAGACAATTCAGGATTGCATTCATGTGTACAAGTAAATAACAACTACTGAACAGTCTAAATATAGACTGAACGGATCTAATTGACTGCAATCGAATTGTCTGTGCAGTACAGAATCTACCGCAGTGGATAAGTCTGAAAATTTAATGACTGATAATGACTGAATAGTTTACAGTTCAGTCTTTTAACAGCTGTTAAGATCAAAATGATCGTTTCAGATCAAAGTTAACGTTGGTTTACTAGTGAGCGAGTCACATCTTTATCATGCAGTTAATTTGAATTTTCAATGTTGGATCCGGTTTATATAGAAGTATTGCTCATAACAATAAAACCTGTTTTTGCAAATAATGTTTAAGTATTTATGTCAAATGTCAAGAGCATCAGGACTCGGAATTGACTTTAAATGATTTATTAAAATTACGTCTGACAGTATCCGATAGGTTGTTCAGATTTGTGACTGCAGAATAAATTGTTGACAATATCAAATTATTGACAGTTTATGAATTTTGTGTTATGACTCATTAGGAATCGAAAAGCATTCAATACAAAATGAACTCTCACTGAACCTTCCGTGCGTCAAAAAAAATAAATAAATGGGGAATGTATCCATTGGACACAGATGATGCCCCCGCTTGCATATAACGTTATAAAGGGACATAACTCAAGAACTGTAAAAGTGATGCTACCCAAATTTGTACTTGATCTGAATTTTGTGGTAATAAGCATTGTGTATACGTTTCATAACATTTAGTTGAGGCAAACTGAAGTTAGAGAACGGAAACGAAAAATTCAGCAATTTTTCCATTTGTAAAGGAGCATAACTCTAGAACGGTGCAAGTGACGCCACCAAAATTCAAACTTGATCTGTGTTTTTGTGGTGATAAGCATTGTGTATAAGTTTCATAACATTTGGTCGATGCAAACTAAAGTAAGAGAACGGAAACGAAAAATTCAGCAATTTTTCCATTTGTAAAGGGCATAACTCTAGAATGATAAAAATGACGCAACCCAAATTCAAACTAGACCTGGGTTTTGTAATAATAAGCATTGTGTATAAGTTTAATATCATTTGGTTGAGGCAAACAAACTAAAGTTAAAGAACAGAAACCAATTTTGGGACGTACGGACGGACCTACGGAGTACAGACGGACAAGGGTAAAACTTAATGCCCCTCCGCTACGGCGGGGGCATAAAAAACATTGTAGATTCTTTAAAATATATGTCAAAACAAATGTAGCGATTACAATTGTTGTTAGTTATGAAATTCTATTTTCGAATATAGTGTTGAATTTCCTTTAAGCAAATGATCCATTTGTTGATGTGAATCTTCTATGGGTATTTTGGCATACTTTTAACTGTTTAGATTGCCAAGGGTTTCTTTCAAAGACGTAAACAGACTATAAACAAAACGTGCTTTTGTTTAAGATAAGACCGGTGACCTACTATATTTTCATATCGTTAAAACAGATATATCTACTGCAAGAAAATATGATCTTAGTTTAAAATTGTGTTAACGGATTGTTTTAAAAGTCGCAAGTTAAAGAAAAATACATATTTTCTTCCCTTTTTACATACAATCCATATTGCTATTTACTTATTCGAAATATTTATCGGTGGTTCTCTCTAAGCACTGCAACGTCCTCGTCCAATAAAAAATGATCGCCACGAAATAACACAATAGTGCTGAAAGTGACATTAAACACCAATCAATTATTCACAAATTTTTAATTGAGTATCTCTGCAAATATTTATGCTACATATATCATGTTTTCGATATTCAGATGCAGTTCAAAGAATTCTTAATGCTTATAAAAATTTCATAAAAATCCGAAGCATCTCCAATTACGTATATTTTGCCTTAACTTGACGATGCCAAAAATAAACTTAGAATAACATAGTACTATTGCTCGTCATATTAAGGCATTAGACATGTCCGATTTCGACTTTTCCTTTTTCTGCTTTCAATCTATGATCTTTTCCTGGTTTTGGTTTCAAATCATAGATACTAAAACTGAAATTGGCCTCATATTTCAATGACAATTACTAGGAAAATATCACTAACAATTACTGGAATGAAAACAAGAAAATGATTGTATGAAACACCATGGATGATAAATTACCATAGAGTATTAACATCGAATAAGCAAGTTATTATCTCAAAACTGAATCTGATAAAGAGGACAAAACAACTAATTAGTTTGTTTTTGTACGTAAAAGTCATTGTTATTATTTTTTTCGTTTTGTTTTCAGATTTTAAAACAACATAACAATGAGAATTTATCGTTAATTAAAGTATCTGCGTAAAGAAAGATTAACATAACAAGCATAACAATCATACCACATCTCCTTTTTTTTATATAACATAACAATGCTCAACTAAAATATAGTTGGGAAACATCAGCGAATCAAATAAATAATTTGGGACTATTAAGATAATTTTTAACACAGGTACCAATGCTATAAGATAATACGACTATAACTGTTTTCAATTACCATGAGGTTGCAGGCACTTTTAACGTTAACGACATCAAAATCAAGAGTAGGCCAAGCAAAGCTAAAAATTACACTAAGTCCTTGTAAAAGCCATAATTTAAAAAAAAAATCAAAAAGGAAATTTGAAGGTGAACAATTGTTTTACCAGGTTGAGATTCTGAAAACGTTTTTTCAAGTTCTAATACGGAATTTAGGAAGAGATATGTATGTGTACTATGGCATATGGATGTGACGAATTAAATGTCAAGTTAACGTATTATTTATTTAGATGAAGAAATAAAACAGACATTGCAAAAGTGAGTAAGATTCATTGAAAGATACACATAATTTGTCGAGTTGATGATACCAAAGTTGAAATTCAATTTGAATATTTCACCAAGCTTCATAAGCTTGCTGGTGTTGTCTGTGGTCAAAACACAAGACAAAATTTTCATACCTATACATTTCCAATCGTCTATAAATCATTATTTAAAGTAGATTCAATTACAAAAAGTTCGATAGCATTTTGTCCATCTGCGGTATTATTAATTTGAGGAAGATTTATACATTTACTAAACATACTAGTTATAAATAACCATTTAACAGATATGAGTGATTGCAACAAGTGCTTCATTTTGTGTGTTCAGATAAGTAAAAGTGACAAAAGGATCAAACCAGAAATAATTATCAAATGGTAATGAGATTGTCTTGTCGAGTGACAATAACGTATATATATCAAATATAATTGTAATATTAATATTGTTTGTGATGAATCTCGTTTTAATAATGAACGTCATGGCAAATAAAAATTTAAAACATGCATACAGTTGTTGTACATGTAATTCATAAAGAATGTATATTATCTGAATTAATTGATGTGTAAATGTGGTCTTTCTCTCAAAAACTTAACATAAAATAATTTAGATATTTATTTAATTTATTAGCGATTCGACTGCGTTCACACATCAATATACACCTTCAAAATAAAGTAACTCTACCTTCACTACAATTTTCAGACAGCAACGGATGTAAAATTGCATGTTATTTTTCTAAAAGGCATGCATAATAGATTGATTTATTGTTGGCTACTTAATATTCCGTTGGTAAAAATAAGTTTTTTTTCAATTGAAGGATTAAAACAATGAATCGTTTCAATTTTATGAAATACAATTTATTTGATGACGATTTGGGGTGGGGGCACTTTTGCACAAATGTAAATGAAAGATATTTGAAATAATTCGATCTACTAATAATAAATTTGAATGATTATTTTGAACCGCAAAAGTGTTATTTTCATTTTATTGCCGACAGTCAAAGTAGAGATCTAACCCGATTGTTCTGATTTGTTTGTTTTATGAACTATTGAATTACCATTCGTGCAATCTTTCAAAAAGGATACGAGTAAACCTTGTTTTCATCATAGAAGGCTTAAAGCTTGGACTGTCCACTTTATCACATTCATAAAACACAATATTTACAATGTCGTTGCCTATATGTCTTTTCCGCTCAACCTGAAAATAAAACATAGAAAAATTTAAATGAATACTTTTAAGATTTACATATTTAGTTTTACAGCCAGATAGGCATACTTAGACATCAAAATACGTTTTTAGCTTCAATCGTGAAGGATATATACCATAACTAGCATATTTAATCACAAAAATGAAGTTCGTCTATTACAATGCTTGTATAATGAAGCTATAGGAACCCTGTTAATTGACTGGTCCAAACATTGCAAATTGGAGCTATCGTTATGTTAGTAGAAATGTAACATGGGATGAAACGGTCTTAACGAGACAAAATAAAAAGAAGAAAAAACATGATGTAATCAATTCAACATTAAGATAACTTTAAGGTTTAATGAAATAAGATAATTGGTTTGTTATCTGCTCATTCCATTGAATGTATCTAATAACCTATTTTATCAAATGAACATCTGTTGGATGGATCAATTCAAACAAGTGATGACGCAGCATAGGAACGTCATTTTTAGCGTGAAGACATCAAGAACGATGACAATGTGTAACGTTACTTACCAGGAAGAAAGTTCAATTTATTAGTTGATCGTTTTTATAGTTTTCTAAACCATTTCATTTTCATGTATGGTATGCCTACTAAGTAATATTCTCAAATGCGTTCACCAAAACGTTGTGATTGTAAACGTACTTAACAATAGAAATTCAACCAATGACGTGCCGTAATGTTTACTTTGGTGTACGAACAATGAGATTAGTCATACTCTTTTAGATTCTGCAAGGGCGAATTATATATGTATTATATGTAAAATGTCTACCTTAGAATATCTTGTTAAATCCATAAATCGTTACTATGAACTAAATAGCAAAATCAGCAATTCATTCGATTTGTTTACGTTTTACTTACTTTAAAATGAACATAGGACGGACCAAATTTATAAAGTGTAATTTTTATTATAATAGCATATTTATAACACACCATTGCTGGTACAGTGGTACTGTTTGGAAGAAAATTGGATTGATGATGTCCTTGGATTAGTTTTAAACACTTTAAAAAGTTAACATAATTAACTATGACAAACAAGGAAGTTTAAACATTATTAAGTTTTACGACGACACTTTAGAAAATCTAGAAAACATGGTTGCTTCAATTTAGCAAACCTTTTTAGAAACAAATTGGTTAAAGAGCTGTATTTTTCTAGTCTTAATTGAGTTACTTTAAGTTTTCCTGTGGCACATTAAAGCATCATTCATTTACCATATTCATCCAATAACGTGTAAGCAATATCTCCGAAAGACGATATCATTGTAGAAGATCCGACTTGAATGGTATAGATTGAATATGACATGCAATTGTTGATTAGAACTTCATCTATGAAATCGAGCAATTAACATGATGTTTATTTTATAGGTTAAAATGTCATGTTTAATCACGTGTTCTACATCCATTATAGGCTTGGTCGTACAATTCAATAGTCAATGCAAACATGCATTCTACTTCACAATAAATTATATTCGATTATACTAACGGTAATGTTAGATAAACATTAATCAACACACTCTTTCTGGCCTATCCAATGTTTAGATTTTGGTGCAATTTATATTTTCCTGCGCAATATTATTGTACTTCACAGCATACTTCTAAGAAATACACAGAGGAAGCAATTTGTATTTGAAAAATAATACTCGTGGAATTTTAATCCAAATCAAGTACATGGTTATTATGGTGTAAGAGAGAGAGAGAGAGAGAGAGAGAGAGAGAGAGAGAGAGAGAGAGAGAGAGGACTTGAGCTATTAGCTGACGAGCTAGTTTGTAAATTATCTATTATTAACACTGCATTTGAAATTAAACAAATGTGTATGTCTTACATATCTATTTGTCATAATTTCATACTTCAAAATATTAAACTGTTAGAGGAAACAGAAAAGATATTTTCAATCCTAGTCTTTTCGAAGAATTTTATTGAAGGAGCTTTTGTGATATCGTTTTACATTTACTATTTTAAAAGTCCTTCTACGATAAATAAATAAAGGCAACGATACATAAAATGTAAAATCGGAAAATAGGTGATCATCGATATTTTCCGTAAAAGAGGTATACAGTAAAATTAAAATGTTGCGCAAATACCTTTGGCGTACTATATATTGTTGATATGATAATATGTACCTTAATGCGAAAAAAAAATTACTGTGTCTTAAACATGACACTTGTATAAAGTCAACAGCTTTAATAGATACAGAATATATCACAAAAATTACTCAGACGTTAATTCAGTTTTTTTACCAAGATAGTGAAGACTTGCTATAATTGAATTTGGTGCATATGATTAATACATTATGAAACATACCGAAAAAAATACATGAAACACTAAACGAAACAACACCTCATATTGGTGACAATAATGCTCTACTTATCAAAATGAGAAATACATGTATTGTATTGGATAAAATGTTATAGCAACAATTCATTTAAAACATCATTTAAATATCCAGAGAAAAAAATCTCTACACCAGAATGAATATTATAGTCGATCAAACATGAAATATAGTACATGTAGATTATCCTATAAGAGAAAAAAAAAACCAAATGAAAAAATTCTTGGAAGCAGAATCTAAACACAAAACATTAAATTCCAGACGTACGGACGCACAAGTGTATATAAAATATTCGTGGCGTGTCATAAGTATCTCTGTAATAGTCTGAATATATTTCATATTTGTTTGTTAGTAACGCTTTCATGTCAAAATATCACGAATATGCAAATTTTGTATCTCATTTGAATTTTGCTGCAAACATTTCTTTCAGTGCATGATTCATTAGAAGGAAAACCTGAAACTCTTAAATTAGTGTTCCAATGTAATGAAAATAAACAATATTATGTTTGCCTTAATTGACAACGTTCACTGTATAAATCATTAGTAATTGAATTCGTATTGATACACATTGCAGATAACAAAATGTTCAGTTTGAAAAAGAAACTCATTCTTCTTACAGCCACCGAAATGTGTTAGAAAATTAAATTTCAGGCAAAAGCAAATCATCTTAATCAATCATATTCCTTTGCAAAAATCAATATTGACTCTCTTTGACGACTATTGTGTTTGTTGGATTAATTCTGATTAGTTACTTACTTGTACTCGTAATTAAAGAATTAATTATAGAAAAAAGTGATTTCAAAGGTCTTCTGGGTATCATTTGTATTATAGTTCTTAATTCTGCTGAAAGAGCTTCTATAGCTAAGGACATTCATCCCATTAGAATGACAGATAATTCTATAGATTAACCTGGTTTACAACATATGCTTTTAAAAGCTAACAATAAACAATAACCATATGAATGTTATTTCATTTTATTCATTAATGAACAGCTCTATATTTAGCAACATCAACCAAAATACTTCTAAAGCATTAGCTAATGTACATCTATAGGAAATCTTATTACACTTGGTAGGAACAAGTTGCAATATTGGATATGTCTTAATATGCATAAACAACTTTATAACAGTTAATCATGAAATATGATAAAACTACAAGCGTAAAGAGCTAAAATCTGCTCAATGTATTCTCTAACTTGAATCGACAAAAAAGAGAAGTTTTAAAATATGACCGACAGGCACAGAAACATAAGTTACCATAGAAAAAATTCCAAAGAAAACTCATGAATAAACAAAATGAATGCAACTTAAACGAAAGTACATGTCCCGGAGGCTAAGTAGTTTGTGCTCCTCGAGTGGGACTTGTCTATAACGATAATAAACTGCTGTATAACACGTTAGATACATACCTGCTGCATGTTTTCTTTAGAGATAGGCAGTAGTGTAGACACATGGAACATTATCTCATGCCCCTCATACACTGTATAAACTGACTCAGTTCCAGTAGCATTTGCTGAAACATAACCACAGATAGTAAGATTATTTGCACATGACCATTAACGTCATCTTGTAATTAATTTGAATACCGTTTCTGCGGACTATTATTTCAAGATGCCTCTTATCCCAAATTAAATTGTCTCTCTAAACATATATAATTGTGTTTAATGTGTTTCTAATCGTCAACTTTAAACAACGAGACTCGACTACATGCTCGTGTAAAACATGACAGTTTCTTTCGTCACAGACTGATGGATCGTTGTAAGATTCATGACAACATGTTTAATATTGAATTGGCGTCTTATCATTTTCTAGTTTCGATTTTCTAAATTTGAATAATTTCAGTGATCTTCACAGCAAACACTATCACTATAGATTTGTCCCACTGTTAATTTCATTGATAATAAAATCAACTTGACAGTATTAATCATTAAAAATGTTATATTTTGTTATCTTTTAATATCTTTTGTTGTTTTTTCTTTAATCTAATATATTTTGTCTCAAACATTCCGTGGGAAGAATGTGTCACTGTGGTATCTTTGGCGAGTTTTTATACTTTCTTACACCTAGCAAACTTCTCTGTATCTGTTAAGCAAGATATCTTTATATGAGGTTATTCAAGGGTCATGGTTATCTCATTAGCATATATAGAAATGACTTTTTATTGAATTCATATAATCAACAATATAATGCAACTATCAATTTGCATGTTGTAAATTATAGTAATCAACCAGGGCAAAAATTGATGCTTATGAATCAAATAATCCTTTCAATAATATATTAGTAAAGAATAAACAGACCAGGTAATAATAAGCAATACTAGTAACAACAAATGAGACGCCTATAATAACTCAAACGTTTTTTCTTTAAAAATAATGCCTGTACCAAGTATGGAATATGACAGTTGTTTTCTACTCGTTCCGTTGGTTGAAAACGTTTGATTTTGTCAGTTTTGATGGACTTCCACCTTTTTGAATTTAACATGGAGTTTTGTTATACTTTCACTTACATTTTACGTCCAATCCACCTTTGAATTTCTCCCATCCCTTTAAGGAAACAGAAGAACCCAGTAAGTGAAGAAAGCTGCTGAAACTGTCGGTTGTCTCTTCTGAAAAGAAATAAGAAATCAGTTCTTCCTCATTTACACATATACTAATCATGGACGTTTAAAGAAAACATATTTTGGTAACGGATGGCAGCCCCAAATACTTCATATTCAAATAAAATCAAATACTAAGCTCATAAAAATTGGTAAAGATATACAACTAGAACAGTACGAGACATTTATAGTGTGAATACATTAGATATAACTCATACTTGTGTATATATAGTTGACAATTTCTAACATATCAATCATACTTTTAAAGGATATTGGAATGTTAAACAGCAGTCTACAAAAGACTGAGTAATGCCAACCCAACCAAAAACATTGATTGAATTCAGGTGCTGCAGATTGGTCAGTTTTGGTATTTCTTTGTAAATTTCAGATTTGTTCCAACACAATCGTTTCTGTACCAAGAACTGAAGCGGTTTTAATATTTTTTTTCTAGTTATTTTGACCAGCACTAATATAATTATCATACTCCCTTTCATGAGTGGTTTTATAACATTAAAAATTAAAATAAATGTTTAAGAATCAATGCATTTCTTAAATGGGGGTAAAAAATATTGATGAATAATTCATTTCTACTATGTACTCTTTCCTATTTGGACATTTTGACTGAGTGTTAATTCGCATGGAGGAAGATGCATACATAGCAGAAGATGATCATCCTTTCGTCGCACCCAGTCTTGCTCCTTTTAGAGTTCAGCAGAAGATGCTTATCCTTTCGGCGCACCCAGTCTTGCTCCTTTTAGAGTTCAACAGAAGATGCTCATCCTTTCGGCGCACCCAGTTTTGCTCCTTTTAGAGTTCAGCAGAAGATGCTCATCCTTTCGGCGCACCCAGTCTTGCTCCTTTTAGAGTTCAGCAGAAGATGCTCATCCTTTCGGCGCACCCAGTCTTGTTCCTTTTAGAGTTCAGCAGAAGATGCTCATCCTTTCGGCTCACCCAGTTTTGCTCCTTTTAGAGTTCAGCAGAAGATGCTCATCCTTTCGGCGCACCCAGTCTTGCTCCTTTTAGAGTTCAACAGAAGATGCTCATCCTTTCGGCGCACCCAGTCTTGCTCCTTTTTAGAGTTGATGCGATTTCCTCAGTTTTTGTTTTTTACCTTGATTTGTCTTTTCCTACTCTATTTACGATATTTAAACATCTGTAAACTACTGTCGCCTTGATTTTAAGACATATACTAGTAAAGATCTTGTCCTACTTTAGGGGAACTGATCTATTTCGAATTGATTAGCTTACCATTGCTATAGAATTCATCATCAGACACCTGAGACTCTTTCGCATAAATAACTCCGAATTTGAAATTCACTGATCCCTGTTAAATGAAAACAAATCATATATTAGACGTATTTTTATCATGTAGGTTTTTATATTTTTCATTATCAAAGGTTTTTTTGTTACAACAAAAACAAAGTGGTGTAATAACTAAGAACTTATTTTCAACATCAAAGATGTCAATATATATTTGAAATGTTATCTTTCTGTTTGATTGGATTTTTATTTATTACTGTATTACTATAATAATCGTGAAAGACCGAATGACACGGTCGCTGTAACGTTAAAGAAATAACAAGAAGAGAGTTAGTTTTCATATGTTTAATATCATAACATTGCGTTATACTGTAACAATCACTGAAAAATCAGAGTTATAAACATCATTCAGATAAAGTAATTTTTTTACTTGAATTTACCATTACTAAAAAAAACTGTTTTATGAATATTTCATCATACCTCTTGTTCTTCCAAAACAAGTAGTTCTTTCTGTATTTCAGAGTCAAAGATCTCTTTTGGTCCTTTTTCAGTTTTATTAATATTAAAATGACTGAAATCAAAAACAAAATGACAGCATATCGCCAATACATAACTATATAAAAAGAAAAAAAATCCTGTCGGATATAGGATAGTTATGCTTTAGGAGTTGCTCGTCAGAATAGTAAAGATTTCAGTATGAACACACATGATCATTAATAACTTTTTTTTTCTAAGGGACATTCATTTTCATTTGAATCAATTATATTTTATATAAAGATGTTCCGATTTTCCATAAAACATCTATGATCTAATTTTACAAAAATAACCTAGAACTGCCCTCTGTATTTATCAGTAAAAAGAATATTTTACATACAGATCTCTTAACAATACAGCCTTAAAAATTCAAAGAATCTTAAAGATGAAAGTGCATAAACTAATTCAAAAGTTTGATTTTAAAGACTTCGACGTGTCCCTTTCTTCCCCGAACAAAAATCTAAAACAAATATCAAACAACGCCTTGTGTAGGTCTCAGCGCTATGCTGTTTCAAAACATCTAGATTCTTAATTAATGCCTTATATTTTTTTCCCATATACTACTCATATACATGCTATCTAAATTAATCCACTTTCAGTGTTCTGTGATAAATGATGGGTTACAATGTTGCATGAAGCTCTTAAACTGGCAATAATAAATCGACCTGCAGACAGATTTAATGACACGTTTTTATTGTCCTACCTTAGGATGCCTTTAACGGTCTGTGGTTTGCTTTGATTATAAGGCAACGCTATCTTCTTTGCTCCCTGAAAAAAAAACATAATTATTCAATCTCCTGTTAAATAATACAAACAACACAATATCATGGTTAACGTTACAATTCGTGTAATACATAAATGCGTATTACTACACTCGCTAAATAATCGGATACAATACACCTTCGTATAGCAAATATCAAAATTCTTGCAACTTTCTATTTATCAAAAAAATTACGCTAGAGATATTTTCTTTTTGAAACTTTAATTCAATTACTTTGATCCTTCCGAAAATGCTTAAAATAAGAGTGACGTTGCCATTAAAAAATAAAAACCACATATAGTCATTAATAATCGAGATGTATAATGGTGTTACCCGAGAAGGAGATGAATACTTACAACAATGTATCGCTGCATTCATCAGTATATTGCCTCGCATAATTTTCAAATTTAACAAAACAAAAAATAAAAGTAAATGAATAAAAAAACTAACTTGTATACATCCGAAATTAGTTTACTGTTAAACCTAACTGAAAAACTGACCCCAAGTTTGTAAGATGTCTCTTCACATTTTGTGTATGTATCATTATATGATGAGCACTCTTCACTAAACCACATAGCAAAAGTTCTTTCCGGTGAACTTTTAAAACTATTTCGTTCAATATATGACATGTATGAGCCAAGCTTAAGAATATTCGAAAGTACTTAAATATCTATAGTTGGTTCGACACGTAATAGTCAAAGTTGTGACTGAGTGCAGAATGATGAAGATAGATATAGAGGTTCAATTAACAAGGAGGAAAACCTTTACAGTATTCAAAAGTTTAACCTGCTAGTATATCTATAGTTTGTTAAGAGAACCATATAGAAATAATTTGAGACTATACACATCTGCGAAAAATGACAAAAATATAATGAAATTAGAAATTTGGCTTTTAGTTCATTTAAACAAAATATTTAAACAGTAATTGCATGATGTCGTTCTAATTGTTTGATTGGATCCCTATTTTAAATCATTTCTAGCAAAAAACCCACAACTTTACGAAACATATATGATATGTTAAAATATAAAAGATACTCAAATGCATCATGTTAATAAACAATCCCAATTCCTATATGTCGGAAGTACCTTTGGTAAAATATACTCATGAGTCATACGAAAGATAAATAATTATAAGTTAGCTATATATTTCCATTGACAAGATCATTGAAGACTTACTGTCTTGCACCATAAGATAGTCCTGTACTGTTGTACATTATGGTTATTTGCATCTGTGACGACCACGGACAACAGGAATGGCTCTCGATCAATATCTGTGCCTACATAGTTCTGGTGAACTGAAAGTTAGAGAAAGATTTATCTGAAATTATGTCTAGATATATGAGGTTAAAAGGGTATTTTGGAAAAGCAGTGGGAAGTTAAACTACATTGCGTGTAAATACAGATCATGATTTATACATGATGTTTTACTTTTAAGAGGAATTTATTGCACTATCAATGTTTTTTTCTCAACGAATGAGACGTGGACACGAGCTCAAAACAGAACGATCTTTATAAAACACATGGTTACCTTCATTTAAGAGTAAACATGTTAAATGCATATATACATGTCCAAATACTAATGCAAATTTACAATAAAAGGCTTCCATAATGTAAAATACGTAAAAAAAAATTATGTTGATATCTTTTCGAGTACATTTCGTGAAATCAAAGTAAGAATATTTCTTTTTGTGTATTATTTTATGAGCAGTATAATTATATTTATGTACCTTTTTGGAAAATAGGGTTTGACGATCCTTTGTTATATAAAACATTTTAAATATATATATATCAAAAGACGGCATGAAACTATTTAATGCTTTGATATTACTTTGTGTCAATCATATTCATAATCAATGATGTCCAAGAGACAGTTTTAATCATAAAAATATCCTAGATATGATCGTGCTTCAGGTCAAGAATATGAGACCACAGATATGTCTGCTATAACGATCACAATTTGCATAATCTGTTAAGCTTTGAATAAGATTAGATCCTCAATTTTCTTTGCGTTGAAATGTCTAAAATAAACTCTTGTATTTAGGTCGTGTCCTGTAAGGATACGTTGTATTTTTATATTATCTTTTTATCATTTTAGTTTCCTTGCTCTGAATTTACTAAATCAAAGAATTCATTAGAATTATATTCATTAGAATTCCATAATTCCTTCCTGTTTACGAGAGAGAGAGAGAGAGAGAGAGTGAGAGAGAGAGAGAGAGAGAGAGAGAGAACATTTGCTTCGTTCTGGTAAGAATGTGAGTTTGGATTTGTTATCCGAATCAAGGCTTAAGAAAAATGTTTTTTGTTATCAAAGTCGTCTCTGATGAGGAAACAACCCAGGGTCAATATTTCCATTATTTAGTTGGAAACTAATTCCGTCTATTGATCTTTAATCAATAATGTAACGAATAAAACACTTATATTAAATTTAATTTAATTGAAAATATTCGTCAATATTAAAACGCCATGTCCCGCTCAGCCTCGCCATGTCTCGCTCGCACTATCACAATTAGATAATGACGCACAATATCGGTCCAATGTTAAAGTTTACAATTATGTTCTTTAAAAAGTTCATATCATCATGCACAGTCATATGTTTAAAGTTTTAATTGACGTGACCATAAACTCATGGTAAACTATATGAAACTATATGAGACCAAAATTTTAACTTGAGACGGACGCATAAACCGGAAATAATAATGCTCCTTCTATCGTTGACGGGGCTTAAACAGATTTTGGACAGTGATATGTAAAGGAGATATCCAAATAACAACATAAGTTCTGTATTTACTTACGTTTTCCTAAAAAATATTTGAAGTACCACCGTGTTTGGAATTCTGGATTCTCTAAATGAACTGGGCTATTAACTGTACTGGAGATCTGCAAACAAATATATCTTTCTTATTATTTAGTTTTTTGTAAAGTTAATGTTCCCTTGGTTGGGTGGCAAACTTTCACATATGTATTTCTTTTGTTTTCTCTGTTGTTTGCAATTTACATGACGTCACATGTGTTTTGTACTTAATGAATTGTTTTGTGAATTTAATTTAATTGAAAATAAGTGGTATATATACCTCCAACTGTTTTAGACTTTTATTGATTTATAACCAAATCAAACTGATAACTTGTTTTGAGTTTTTGTTTTATTATTTATTCAAATTAAACTTAACAACTCGTATACTTGCTGTAAAACCAGAATGAAAAGAAAAAAAAATGAACCGGAAATAGAAACAGAATAAAAATTGTTTACAGAGACAAATCAGTATATAAAGGTAATAACGGTTCAGCTTGTAAATCGAACAGCGCTTAGGTAGCCAATAGCAGTACACCATACTATCAATTCAGTTTTCATGTTCAGATACAAAAACAGCAATTAGCAACGAAATGATACGGTATATTTATTTGCACTGTAGACAAAAGCCTGGGTTTGGAATTCCATCTGTATATGTTATGAAGAAATCTTCGTCGTAAACAAATATGGAATACAAAATTTAGATAAACAACATGTACTAAATATAATTCTTTTAAACACCGATATAGAAAGGTTACCCGAAAATCCCAAGGACAACAGTTCTTGTTTACTCCAATAATGTCAAAGTGCAAATTTCAAAATTGAATTCAACATCCCCGTTGAGTTTTTTTAATGCAATGCAGATTGAATCGATAACACATGTAAACAACATTGAATTACAGTTAATTCAAAGATCAACGATAATTGGATTAGAATTTAAAATGTTATTCATGATCACGTTATCATAAATAATATTGTTTACTGTAGTTGCTGCAAACTGTGATGACCATGAACTATTGACCTTTAGATTGCATTAAACGAAGTCGGTATTTTATAGCTAGTGGCGCAAATCTTCCGTTTTCTGTTGTCTCCAACTGTTGTCTTTATAAAAAGGTGGAGTATATTTGATGAGGGCAAGTCCAATTTGGATAAATTGAATAATTGTATTCTAAAAGTGTTTACCAATTTAGGTACATGTATTCTCTCTGGTAAAATAAACATCATAAATTTTAAAAATATAAATAAATATAAATAAATTCAAGTGGACGTAATTGCAATCTTCTTCTAAAATGGCCAAATAGGTGATAAACTTTTAATTTTCCGATATTGAAAGGTACCTTGAGTTTCGTAACATTCATATGACAATAATTATAGCATTTATAATTTATTATCGCTATTATTACCGATAAATATCGATATTTATATTAGAAAGAGTATAATTTATGGACTTTAATAATCTCGATTTACCGAGCGCCAGTAGGTTCATTGTCATGATTACCAAAGGAGTCTTTATGAACCAAATGACAGAAATTACCTATGATTTTTTTATCAAATAAAAATTCATTTCACAATTAAAAAAAAAAAAATTTCATTGATTTAACAACTGGATTGTGGTCACTGAAGAACATGTCAAACTAAACAAACACGTGAATTTTATTTATAACTATGGTCTATTAAAACTGTTCGTTGCTGTCAAGATATCAAATTGGTCCACATCAATTACTTATTACCATGAGGGTAAAATGATATATCTGTCTTTGTTCACGTGAACTTCTTATACAAAGTCTGATACTCAATTATGTATATAATTTTTTGGAACCCTAAATGTGTAAGGGTCTGGATGGGGTTTACAGAACAGAAAATAATGGACAAAAAGCGCAGAATAAAGCGCCAAAAAAAATAAAGACTAGAGAAAAATGGACCAAAAATAAAAAATAGAGAAAAAAAAGCCAAAAAATAAAGAATAGAGAAAAATAGGCCAAACAATAAAGAATAGAGAAACAAAGGCCAAAAAATAAAAAATACAGAAAAATAGGCCAAAGAATGAAGAATAGAGAATAATGGGTGCTAAAATATAAAAAAAACTGAAAATAATGGACTAAATAAATAAAGAATAGAGAAAAATGGTATAAAAATTAAAGAATATAGAAACGAGGGACCCCTTGCAGAACCTCAAGTATTCTATTTTATAAATTTAGGTCCTACTTTGTTATGTCATGGACTTTTTATACTCATATATTCATTCAATTTTGTCAGCGCTCAGTACACGTAAATATTTTGGAATGAAAACTATACCATTTTTTGTTATTTGTATCAAATAAACTGCAACGCTGTCTTTATTGCCTGCTTTTCTTATGTTTTTAAAGGTCAAATAGTTTGGCTATCGTTTTTCGTTGGCTAAACGGACCCTGGAATGTGTCGATTTTACCGATTGACCATATCAAAAGAATGTCATCTAATTCGTTACAATTTATTAATAAATTTTAGACATCTGGATTTTTCACAGTTCTGAGACTATCAATGAAAGTCTCTAATTCGATTAATTGTGTTTGCATCCAATAAAGCATTGAAAGATCAAACGAAGATAATTATTGTTTATTAGCGAATAAACATATCCTTATTAGTTCAAGGCAAAGGAAAATAACTGTACATGTATACAATAGAATAGAATAACAAAGGATAAGGGGTATACATCCATGACACAAAATCAGTACATGCACAGCAAAAAACTCACAAAATGTATATGATTATTTTCAGGGTCACAGATTTTAAGATTTTTATAACGGTATAATTTTATGGGTGTCTTAAGCTGCTACCAAACACCTTGACTAGAATTCATTTGGCTCGTTTAATTTTCATAAAATTTTGACAAAATATTTACTTTGACCCTTTGACTAAAAAAATAAAATTTCAAAAAACTTGAACCACACACTTTATCGAAGAAATTTCATTGGATATATAGCAGTTTGACAAACACTAATTTTGATCATTGAGAAGCTTAATATTTCCTAAACAATAGAACGTTATTAAAACGGTCAGCTGAGTTTTACAGAGTTACCTCCCTGTAGTGTTATGTACCACCTTCAAATCTTACCTCATCGCCATCTATGTCTCCTGTTTCTACACGAAATCTGCCAGCAGTTTGTGTACCATCACCTTCTACAGCGTTTAACTGAAATAAAAGATAGGTAAAAAAGTATTGATAGTCATACGATATAAGTAAATATGTTAGCTATATTTTTATGGAAGATAAAAAGGTGCAACTAAAAAGTATTATTCAACCAAAGTACAAGCAAATACTTAGTTTTTTTTACTTGATTTAATTCCTGTATTCTGATTTTCTTGCTGTGTTGAAGACCCATTGGTTGCCTTGGGCTTTTTTTTTTTTTTGCTCTTTGGTAGGGTTGTTGTCTCTTTGACGCATTCCCCGTTTCCATTCTCAATATTAGTTATTATATCTTAAATGTAAGTATGCTAATATATTATGACTCCTTCGTCGTTCGGGTTAAGTAGGGTCACCCATGTCGTGAAGATTAAATGACATATACCGATTTGCTTGTTCAATAACTATAACATATTACAAACGATAATTAGAAAAAAAACACCGTCTCCTCACTGGAAATCATTGCATACAATTTTTTGAAACATGCCAGCATTAAGTAAACATTATTATTCAATTGCAACGGAACTTATGTTAAGTGACGAGGGACAGACAATGTTTACTCATCGCTATAACACGTAAAATTAACCTTTAGAACTTATAATCTTAAAACCATGCACAACAATTATGTCCACATCACAAATTTTATGAAACCTAACAGAACTATTTCACTTGTGTAGAAAATCATACGAATGACGGTTTGAAACGGATTTACACTTGTTTAAACTTTTAGTTACCAAGACTCCCTCCAATGCAATAAGATGTGTCCACTCATCATTATATGTTTCAAGTAAGCCAGTTAAAACTATAATTGTTACATTTTGTTTTAATTGTTTGAAGTTGTGGTACTAAGTTAGGTAGGTGTAGCAACAAGTGCTAAAATTCAAGGTAAAAGCAGACCTATATTCCGAATTGAATTGCTGTAAAATAAATGCGCTCTATCATAAATTCAAAAATACGTTGGCACAAGTTTAAGTGAACAAAAATACCATTTTAATAAAGACTCATATCAGGTATATCTCTTTAATACGTGATACGATTTGTAATTCATAAAAAGACATGCATAATACAGTTGTATTTTTTATTTCCAACGTAACAGTTATGCCGCTTTCTGCAGAAAACCAATTTTGCCATAAGATCATTTTTTTTAATAAAAAAATAATAGCAACCTGCTAATTACCCCTTGAAATAATATCCAATAATATATTGTTATATTAAAACAGTGGTATGCTAAAAAGCAATAAGTATTGTCTTAATAAATAATTTATGTAAATTGTATTTAGTACTTGAAGTTCTTGAATACTATACATTTAACAGCGACCTGTTAATTACCCATTGAAAGGAACGAACACAGCAGTATAAACTGTCTAGATCTATAAGTTATTAGAAGGTCATGTAAAACAAATACTAGAATGTATATCAACCTACTAATCATGGTCATCAATAGTACTAACATTGAATTATTAATGTGACAGGTGCAAAAACCGACTTAATGTTCCTTGCGAACAACAAAAACTGAATACCAGATGAAAATATACTCGTAAACAATGTTCAGTTATCTGAGCTCTGAACAAAGTACCACGTCTACTTTTCATGTACAACTTGTAATGCCTTTATTGATTGATTGATTGATTGATTGGTGTTTAACGCCATTTTCACCGTCATTGTCAGGATCGTGGCGGTCAGTATTTAAGCAATTATTAGTGATGATATTACATAAAGGCTTTTTATAGAATATACCAAAAGAATTCTGAATCGTTATCAAACGATTGGGCAATATATTCAAGGAACAGCATAACTGTGTTGCCACGGTCAACTGATGAATTGGTTGTGGTACACGTATTTGGAGTTTTACTTGTGAAGAGGAGCGGATATTTTTGACCGACAAATCCCACATTGACGTCTGCAATTCTTCAAACACAGTAATGTTTTCCCTGTATTATTGCAGTACCAGTTGAATAAACAGTATAAGAAAAGCATGACCTTGTACAAGGGCACAATATAGGTATCGACACAATGTAGAACTATAAGTGTGCATAACAGTATTGTCATACATGTTCGAAATTGTTTTCATTTATTAGCAAAAAATAAATGTCAGTTCCGATGATTTTTGTCTTTTTTCTTTTGTTTCGTTCGGCTGTTGTCTTATTGTCGCAAACCCCATATTCATATCGCATACTTTTAATTGGCTTTGACTTTGAAGTATAATTTCAGATTAATAAATCGATATTTAGATCTCATTTACTTTTTGTTTTGCTTTGATTTACCCAGTCTATAGTTATCTAAGTCATGAAACTAACAAAAAAATTGTATAGCTTCCTGTCAATAATCTTTACTGTGAAATATAAGTAAATTGATACATTATTAACTTCCTGTGCCTCGCAAACAGCATTTCCGATTCGTTATAGTTATTTTGAAATTGAAACAAGAAAAGTTCATTACAAACCAAATGGAGTTAGTGAATTGTGCAAAATTGGGAATATTTACAACAAACATTAGGATATATGGAAAACATTATTTTGGCAAAAAGTATACCATATATACATGTATAAAGAAAGTAAAGGATTATCGATATTTTATGTAAAGGGCTTGTCGTTATCTAAATATTCTTCGTAACTAGTGTAAAAATATTCTCATAAAACAAAATGGTTTTAATCAATTTAATAATTTGTTCCAATGTCATCGTGTGACACATATTCAAGATAATGGTACTTTTGAGACAAAATAGACAGGCAAACCTTAAGTATGATACCAGGCTTTTAATTTTGTACGCCAGACGCGCGTTTCGTATACAAAAGACTCATCGGTAACGTTCAAATCCAAAAAGTTAAAAGACCAAATAAAGTATTAAGTTGAAGAGCATTGAGGACCAAACATTTCGGTTGGTTTTGCCAAATGCAGATAAGCAATCTATTCCTGCGGTAAAAAAGCTTAAGTCTTTCGAACAAATCAAAGCTTTGTAAACGATTAATTTATTAATATTAAATATCAATGATAATTGATGTCGACACAGAAGTGATACTGAATACTGGGCTGGTGATACCTCCGACAACAGTGGCATTGATCCAGTGGGTTGTCAAAAAATCTCATCAAAGATACAAGGCTTTTATGTTTGAAGATTAAGCTGTTTGTTCCAACTGAAATTGATTTGCAAATATACCACAGTGTTATTTCTCAATGTTGTATAACTGACCATTACCAGATAGCAGTGACCATTAACAGATAGCACATAGCTATTACACAGCCTAATGAATTACTTACAGTAATATAAATATACAGTATTTCGAGACCTTAATAGCTAGGGACCACATAAACTTCATTTACATCAATAAAACTGATCATATCAACTTGACTAATTTGTTTATATTACAAAAAAAAAATGGTCAATAAATGCTTTACTTCTACGCAATCCTTTCGAGAGAAAAAATACAATTATAAGTGTATGCAAACTGTAAGTTTTAAGGAATATGAAAGTAAGTGTTGTAATTGTACTTATTTTAATCAACAAAGGAACGTCATACTTAAATACGTGCAAAGAAACTTGTTTATAGTAAAAAATACTAAAGTTTCATTTTGAATGCAATTCAGGAATAGTCGTTAAGTGTTTGTACTTAAATGTACCGAGCTGTACTCTGCCAGCTTGGGAACGTCCGCATTTTATTCGATTGACTTTACTGATACCTCGGTATTAAACTGTAAAAGCTTTAACTCAAATCCAGCAGTGTAATAGTTGAACAAGTCTCAATAGTACTTAACCGAGTAGGATGTTTTCTTAACTGCACCTGAAGTAATCATTCTCGAGTTTGGACCGTCCTCGACCTCAGCTTTACTGCACTTGACAATATCTTTCTTTCGTCTTTGTCAAGAAATTTTCATCGTTTGTCTAACATTTATCAGGTGCAGTTAAAATTTGTCTCTATTGATAAGATAAGAACCAAGTACATGTACATGTACAATGTAAGTAATGTTTAATGCAGATAAATAATCATGTACAAGTTAGCTTTTGAAGCCTGGTCCAGTATAATTCGGTACAGTACAGTTGAGTACAAAAACTGCTCATAGTCTGATTCAAGCTAGTTTATTTGTCGTTGATTTCTAATCAGTATGCATTTATTTAGCTATGAAATAACGAAGATAAAGGTTATCGCAGAATACATGAGCAACACGACGGAAGCCACATGAGGAGCAATATATGTTTACCCTTTCGAAGCTCTTTAGAAGATCGCCCACCGGTTTTTATGGGGTTTGTGCTGCTCAGTCTTAAGTTCCTATACAAACATGAGAAAATTTGGTATGATTGCAAATGAGACAAAAAGTTTTCATTCCATCCTATTATTTCAAGACGCACATCCTATTATATCAAGACGTACATCCTATTATATCAAGACGCAGAACAGTATGGAACACTTCATAAGTATTAGTGGAGTAGTATTGCAGACCGTTCATCAAACGTTTATAAGGCCAAAGAAAATTATTAAAATTAATGCTTGTTTCTTGCCTCTTGGTACAAATGTAGACAATAAGGCAAGGATATACATGAAAATATAATATAGGGTAAGTAGGAAGAAAGGAAATGGAATTGTATTTTGTGTTGTCTGAGATCTGTGACTGAGATTGATCTTGTTCTTATAATCTTTCGTGTTCTTAAAAGATTAAACGAGTGACATCTACATATCTGATTTTAGATTATGCTTTAGGGGTAGTACCGAGCTGTACTCTGCCAGCTTGGGAACGTCCGCATTCTATTCGATTGACTTTACTGATACCTCAGTATTAAACTGTACTGATAAAGTTGTAGATAGAATTACAAATGTTCAGAGCTGTACAAGCTTTCACTCAAATCCAGCAGTGTCATAGTTGAACTAGTCTCAATAGTACTAAACCGAGTAGGATGTTTTCTTAACTGCACCTGAAGTAATCATTGTCGAGTTTGGACCGTCCTCTACCTCAGCTTTACTGCACTTGACAATATCTTTCTTTCGTCTTTGTCAAGAAATTTTCATCGTTTGTCTCACATTTATCAGGTGCAGTTTACATTTGCCTCTATTGATAAGATAAGAACCAAGTACATGTGCATGTACAATGTAAGTAATGTTCTTAAAAATATGTGATACGATTTGTAATTCATGAAAAGACATAATTCAATAATTTTATAAAAAAAACGAAAGAAACAAAAAAAGATAAACGGATATAAGTAAATCAATAAATCGTATTGATAAACAAGATTCATGTCTATGATAACAAAAACTTAGTGACCCATCATACCAAATACTTAATTTATAGCATATAAAGTTAACAATAAGTGTATGCCTATACATGTATATAGAATCCATTTTATATTAAAAAAAAATCCATTTAAACAGAGTGAAAAGTATGCAAAGTTTGAAATGATCTCAACACTAATACATTTTTAAAATAAGCTACCCTGGCTGGGATGGTGGATATATACTCAGTTCCCAAAGTTTCTGACACTTTCAAGCTGAAACAGTCCACCCTATTCAATAGGAAAAATAACTGAAGTATCTTGTATTTCCAACGTAAGAGTTATGCCGCTTTCTGCAGAAAAGACAAGTTTGCCAAAAGATATTTTTTTTTTGTAAAACAAAATGAACTTTCATAGCAAACTGCTAATTACCCCCTATAATAATATCCAATAATATATTGTTATATAAAAACAGTGGTATGCTTAAAAGAAATAAGTATTGTCTTAATAAATAAGTTATGTAAATTGTATTTAGTACTTGAAGTTATTGAATACTATACATTTAACAGCTACCTGTTAATTACCCATTGAAAGGAACGAACACAGCAATATAAACTGTCTAGATCTATAAGTTATATACATTTCATAGATGTATGAAGGTCATGTAAAGCAAATACTAGAATGAATAGCAACCTGCTAATCATGCACGAGGTCATGAATAGTACTAACACTGAATTATTAATGTGACAGGTGCATAAACCGACTTAATGTTTCCTTGCGAACAACAAAAACTGAATACCAGATGACAATATAATCAAAACAATGTTCAGTAATCTGAGCTCTGAACAAAGTACCACGTCTACTTTTCATGTACAACTTGTAATGCCTTTATTGAAAGATTGATTGATTGATTGATTGGTGTTGAACGCCATTTTCGTCACTATTGTGCTACATCGTGACGGTCAGTATTTATTGCCTTTATTAGTGATGATATTACATAAATAAAGTTGAGAATGGAAATGGGGAATGTGTCAAAGAGACAACAACCCGACCATAGAGCAGACAACAGCCGATATATAAAGGCTTTTTATAGGATATACCAAAAGAATTCTGAATCGTTATCGAACGATTGGACAATATATTCAAGGAACAGCATAACTGTGTTGCCACGGTCAACTGATGAATTGGTTGTAGTACACGTATTTGGAGTTTTACTTGTGAAGAGGAGCGGATGTTTTCGACCGACACATCCCAAATTGATGTTTGTAATTCTTCATACACAGTAATGTTTTTCCTGTATTATTGCAGTACCAGTTGAATAAACAGTATAAGAAAAGCATGACCTTGTACAAGTGCAAATTATAAGTATCGACACAATGTAGGACTATAAGTGTGCATAACAGTATAGTCATACATATTCAAAATTGTTTCAATTGATAAGAAAAAATTAATGTGAGTTCCGATGATTTTTGTCTTTTTTCTTTTGTTTCGTTTGGCTGTTGTCTTATTGTCGCAAACCCCATATTCATATCGCATACGTTTAAATGACTTTGACTTTTAAGTATAATTTCAGATTAATAAATCGATATTTAGATCGCATTTACTTTTTTTTTTGCTTTGATTTACCCAGTCTATAGTTATCTAAGTCATAAAACAAACAAAAAAATCGTTTAGCTTCCTGTCAATAATCTTTACTGTGACATATAAGTAAAATGATACATTATTAACTTCCTGTGCCTCGCAAACAGCATTTCCGATTCGTTGTAGTTATTTTGAAATTGAAACAAGAAAAGTTCATAACAAAGCAAATTGAGTTAGTGAACTGTACAAAATTGAGAATATTTACAACAAACCATAGGATATATGGAAAACATTATTTTGACAAAAATTATACCATATATACATGTATAAGGAAAGTAAAGGATTATCGATATTTTATGTAAAGGGCTTGTTATCTAATTTTTCTACGTAACCAGTGTAAAAATATTCTCAGCCAAAAAAAAAAATGGTTTTATTAATTTTATGATTGTTCCAATGTCATCGTGTGACTCATATTCAAGATAATGGTACTTTTGAGACGAAACAGACAGGCAAACCTAAAATATGATACCAGGCTTTTAATTTTATACGCCAGACGCGCGTTTCGTAAACAAAAGACTCATCGGTAACGTTCGAATCCAAAAAGTTACAAGGCCAAATAAAGTATTCAGTTGAAGAGCATTGAGGACCAAACATTTCGGTTGGTTTTGCCAAATGCAGATAAGCAATCTATTCCTGCGGTAAAAAAGCTTAAGTCTTTCGAACAATTCAAAGCTTTGTAAACGATTGATTTATTAATATTAAATATCAATGTGAATTGATGTCGACACAGAAGTGATACTGAATACTGGGCTGGTGATACCTCCGATAACAGTGGCATTGATCCAGTGGGTTGTAAAAAAACCTCATCAAAGATACAAGGGTTTTATGTTTGAAGATTAAGCTGTTTGTTCCAACTGAAATTGATTTGCAAATATACCACAGTGTTATTTCTCAATGTTGTATAACTGACCATTACCAGATAGCAGTGACCATTAACAGATAGCACATAGCTATTACACAGCCTAATGAATTACTTACAGTAATATAAATATACAGTATTTCGAGACCTTATTTGCTAGGGACCACTTTAACTTCATTTACATCAATAAAACTGATCATATCAACTTGACTAATTTGTTTATATTAGAAAAAAGAGGTCAATAAATGCTTTATTTCTACGCAATCCTTTCGAGAGAAAAAATACAATTATAAGTGTATGTAAACTGTACGTTTTAAGGAATATGAAAGTAAGTGTTGTATTTGTACATATTTTAATCAACACAAGAACGTCATACTTAAATACGTGCATGAAACTTGTTAATGGTAAAAAAATACTAAAGTTTCATTTTAAATGCAATTCAGGAATAGTCTTTAATTGTTTGTACTTAAATGTACCGAGCTGTACTCTACCAGCTTGGGAACGTCCGCATTCTATTCGATTGACTTTACTGATACCTCGGTATTAAACTGTACTGATAAAGTTGTAGATAGAATTACAAATGTTCAGAACTGTACAAGCTTTAACTCAAATCCAGCAGTGTAATAGTTGAACTAGTCTCAATAGTACTTAACCGAGTAAGATGTTTTCTTAACTGCACCTGAAGTAATCATTCTCGAGTTTGGACCGTCCTCGACCTCAGCTTTACTACACTTGACAATATCTTTCTTTCGTCTTTGTCAAGAAATTTTCATCGTTTGTCTAACATTTATCAGGTGCAGTTAAAATTTGTCTCTGTTGATAAGATAAGAACCAAGTACATGTACATGTACAATGTAAGTAATGTTTAATGCAGATAAATAATCATGTACAAGTTAGCTTTTGAAGCCTGGTCCAGTATAATTCGGTACAGTACAGTTGAGTACAAAAACTGCTCATAGTCAGATTCAAGCTAGTTTATTTGTCGTTGATTTCTAATCAGTATGCATTTATTTAGCTATGAATTAATGAAGATAAAGGTTATCGCAGAATACATGAGCAACACGACGGAAGCCACATGAGGAGCAATATCTGTTTACCCTTTCGAAGCTCTTTAGAAGATCGCCCACCGGTTTTTTATGGGGTTTGTGCTGCTCAGTCTTAAGTTCCTATACAAACATGAGAAAATTTGGTATGATTGCAAATGAGACAAAAAGTTTCGAGTTTTCATTCCATCCTATTATATCAAGACGCACATCCTATTATATCAAGACGCAGAACAGTATGGAACACTTCATAAGTATTAGTGGAGTAGTATTGCAGACCGTTCATCAAACGTTTATGAGGCCAAAGAAAATTATTAAAATTAATGCGTTTCCTGCCTCTTGGTACAAATGTAGACAATAAGGATAGGATATACATGAAAATATAATATAGGGTAGGTAGGAAGGAAGGAAACAGAATTGTATTTTGTGTTGTCTGAGTTCTGTGACTGAGATTGATCTTGTTCTTATAATCTTTCGTGTTCTTAAAAGATTAAACGAGTGACATCTACAAATCTGATTTTAGATTATGCTTTAGGGGTAGTAAGAGAATATTTTTTGACGATTGCCGTTAGCTATGTTATCTAAGTGTTAAGACCTTTTTTTTTTTATCTTCATGCGTAACACAAATCTGAATTTGTACGCATTGGAACTTTTATTTTCTCCATTGAAAATAAGATAGGAATATGAAAAAGGGAAATGTGGGGAAAAGGTCAAGCAGAGTTAGTAATCCATTTGAATAAATAACCAAAAGACATGTAGAGGAAACTTACTTGTTCTACAGAACCGTATTGTCGTCTGCTAAAAACATCACGTCTTCCGGTGAGGTCGGAGGCCGGGGAACTGTAAAAGTAAATTATGAAAAATGAAATATCATTCATGCAACATAATTGTTTTAAATGTTTATCTGATTCTTAAGGCAAATTGAATCACACAATTGATTAATATTTCTTGGAAAAATAGTCAAGGTTAAATTGATATTCAAGAAACAGTTTGATTTATTTTTCTGTGTGTCATCACCAACGTGATAAAATACATTTCATTTACTCTATATATATCGGATAACAAATTAATTGAGATATCTATGGAGTATGATTATAATGATAATAGTGTACATTTGATATCGTGTTTATTTATTGTTTTTTTATCATAATCCATTTAACCTTGAAAAGTCAAATGAAATAGGGTTGTTTGGTAAAAATTTGTTTTAATGGCAAAAATTAATTTGAGTGTAGGTTGCTAGTTAGATTATCTAAACACCAAAAAAAAACATTAATAACGAATTATTACAAGTCATGACGATGAAAAAATATATGAAAACATATTTAGCTTTATATATAAGTTTTTTTTATCAATGCGGTTAGGCCATGTCTTTTCAAACTCGTATAAGTGAGAATGTTTTTTTTTTAATTTCATTTCCGAACATGCCTGGACGGCGACATCTTAAAGAATAACTATTTTTTTTTTATTTTTGACAATGTGAAATAGGTGACAAATTTTGCGGTATTTCCCAACAGCACAAATGTGTCCCCAAAAAATGTATTTTTAATAAAGTTTAACAAAAATCTAGTTAGGACTTATCCGGACGTTACATCGAACGCAACGCTGAACATCACACTTATTATTATTCCTATTGTCCTATTTTTCAAGTGGAATTGAATTCAAATATTCCCGAAAAAACTCTATGGTGAGCAAGAACGAAAATAATTTGGTTTGTAAGAGCGGGGAGGGGATTCCTAGCCTTTTAAAGCGTGTGGTGATCACTGGGTGTACATGTGGATATTCAAGAACGAGAATGTACTCCGTAAGTTAGGGGTCGCGTGATTATGCGTGAATCTTAAGTGTCACTCTTTGTGAGAATCAATTTAAAAAAATGGCCGTAAAAAAACCCGCCGACCCAACCATCTTATTTTGAAGTTACCCTTATCCTGATTTCGAAATGGTAGGGCTTTCGTTTCTGCGTGTCTGGTAATTCGAGAAATCTCTAGATAACTTTTGGTAAGAATGATAGCAAATTACGGAGTTATCTCCCCTTGATTGGTAATTTCTAGTGCATTTCAACCAAATTGTATCTTGAAATACCAGAAAAGGAATAGGAAACGAATGTTGTATTCGTGCACCTTTATTCATTATGAAATTGAATTAAGGTAAAATTGAGCGAGTTTTTGTTTGTCATGTGTCCACCACTGCCTGATTTTAAGGCAGACTGGCACTTACATTTATGACGCATATGTTTTCAATATGTGTGCTTTAATTCAATTGTTTACCGATATGTAATGTACATCTATAGATTATTGTACAGTTATAGCTATTCGTTACTTTATATTTAGAACCGCCATAATATATTAAATTAAGCTAAAGAACTGCTAATGTCTTTTATTTCAAAAAGTGACTCCGACGATTCCTAGAAGTACTAGTATATATTATGCTTAATTTGATCACTGTTTTCACATACACATTCATTATCAATATTTGATAGTATTTGGAATGTTTTCAGTACGTTGTTTCTAGATCTCCAATCGATCCTGGCACAACACGGGTTTGACTCATAACCGCAGCTGACAACTTACAATGTAGAAGAACCGTACTTTAGTACATTTATAAAGTTTTTTTTATATCACATACGGTGGTTTGCGGCATTACCTACATTTAGATTCGATATATTGTGTATACCAAAAAAATCTATCTACAGTATTTAATATAAAATTATAACAGGAATTTCTATATTGGACAGTTCAACAGAACACCAACGTCCGACTCCTCCGGAAAAAAGTCTAAAGTCAAACAACGAGCAACACACGTTATCTACGGATGCCTCGTTTGTGTATTGCCTTTTGATTTCTTGATTGTGAAGTTCCTATGAAAACAATTTTACATCTTCTGCTTGCTACAGTATGATAATTATAGAAAGTTTATTTTAGTGTTTGCATATCCCCCTTTCTAAAGAAATTTCCATTTATGTTCTTGTCGAGTTCAGTCTGAAAGAAACCCAATTAAGATGACCTGTCGATAAAACTCACAGTTTTAGCTATACATAGATTTTTCGATATTAAACTGAACATTTATTACAATGTTTTAATCGATTACACATCATGTGCAGAATAAATTTCTAAATATTAGAATGCTTATCAAGTATAATACAAATTAATTGTTAGGCCATCATATATATTAAATGATGTCTTTCTTTATGTGTTTGTTGACGTTTCCAAACTCATAAAGGTTTAAAAGTTGGACAGTTCTCTGTATCATTCGTTAATGTTTTTCTTAGACTTATCAAAATCATGAGTCAAGAGTGTCATCAGTTCGCCAATTTAGCATCTAAAGGATTTTTTTGTGGGTCATTGTTCATACACTAAAATGTAAAATAACGTTACACAATTTTTCAAATATGCATAATTGTTTAACCAATTGGTCCCCTAGCCAGTCTGCAAGCGTGATTGCAACAGCCATCCTTTATAGCTCGTACGGCTATCCATACCATATTAAAACTGCCCAAGCTTAAATGTGTTGATAGCAGGGAGCTCAATCTAACCATTCATGATCTATAATCCTTTTCCAAATGTAATTTTATGAAAATATGACAACCTGTATGTGCCTTCTCGCAGATACAAATAGGAAAACTGTGAAAAGTAGCCAAATCGGGTGGTTAATACGGGAATAATTTGGTGGCCACAACGTTAATGGTAAAGACATTAGGTGTTTACTATTATCTTTAATCAGTGAAGAATCACAAGGATGTATAATAGGGCCAGATAAATTCTGGTATGTAAAAACTAGGTCGCTGTGTTTTTCTTCTTCCAGATATTTGTAAAAAAGGAAAATTTGGCAGGTCTGGCTTGTCATTAATGTTTTCCGAGCAAGACTAGGAAGTCACATTTAATTTCAACAACACGGATATGTTGCTGTAACTACAAGGTTATAATTAAATGACGAAGAATCACAGATTGGTAAATTTTCACCTCACTTCAGCAGGGATGGGTTCGTAAACACCAGCACACAGCCGCCACCCTTATCATTCCTTCCCATCCCTTACTGTGCCATCCAGCCCCAAATCACAATGCATAGTGGTTATAGATCAGTATCAGTTACGTTATCAAGAGTGTACTAATTTGCATACCGTATTTCAGATTTTTTTGAAAATGCCTGATTTTCCAGAATTCTCTTGGGGTCGAAACAGTTATCCTATGAAACCCTTTGTTCGATAGTCAGCCGTTAAAGTGTGTTTTGCCGTTTTTACGCCAAAAACGCTCCTAAAACTTACAGAGGTCAAATTTGATCGATTTCGAAAATCCTATTAACTCATTCGCACCAAATCCTGTCTCAGTCCTGATAGCAACATATATTCTTTTATAGCCCATATGGCTTCTATACTTTATTAATTTCAACAGCTTGAGTTTGAAGACCGCTACGAGGACAAAACAAATTTGCAAGGGAAACATGCAGTTCTAGTAATTTTGTTTGGTTAAATGCAAAACGAAATACGCCGCGTTTGCGTGTGTGTAGTATTAAGTACGTAAAAAAACATTGAAAATACACATGGAATGTGTGTCTTAGATAAATCGTGTTATCTTGATATCTGACCTTATCGTCGTGAACTTGAACATTTTGAAACAATAATTAAAAAAAACTGATATAGTTGTCGTGAGATTGACATTAAATTTCCTTCCTTATCTTGCACTTTAAATCACAGCTTACTATTTCGACATCTTGCTTCGAGTTGATCATTGCATAATTTTCTGATTTGTTTTTAATTTTCAATATGGTAGAGATTCTGTAATTTCCTTGTCCTGATGCTTGTGTATATGCTTTTTTTTGCTAAACAACAATGGTAGAAAACTTTCATTTGTATGAGAGGTGCAAATTGAGATGTTAAAAAGCCATTATATGTTACATGTAGCTAACCAAAAACGAATATTTTGAAAGTGCAAAAGGACAATATTCAGCATTTGATATGCAACGGTTTCATTATTTCTTATGAAAACTACAAATTTCTTCCATATACGTTAGCTCTTGTAGTTACACTTTTGTCAGATACACATAGTTTTACAGTCCACAACGCCGTTCACTACTTCCATATTTACATTAAGACATTGTCTCCTTTTGAAAAATCAATTCATTTGTACAGTAAATAAGTAAGTTAGTCAATGGAAATGCATACACTATGAAATTTAGTGCATGGGGCTGTGCCAATTTAGGACATATTTATAACTCGAGCAGTCTAATACTTGGTCTATTGGTAGTTAATTTTTGCTCGCTACTTGTCTCACGGGTGTTTGAAAACGGAGTTTATCAACTAAGTTTTATGTAATGTAAATTAACTCACTAGTATCATTACTGTCATATTTGTTCAAATTTTGACAGTGATTTACCTGATCATGATTTTATAATGCAACCATGACGAATTGTGAATTTCACGGTTTATGTCAACCAAACATAAAAAATGGTGATTTTAAAAGGTCCTTGGCTCCAGAATAAAAAGAGGGTTGCTGCTGGTGTAAGTATGTTTATTGAGATACCCATTCGGGCCAACGGCCTCAAGGTTCATCTACTACATAAACGAAGCGATAAAAGATCATATGTCGAAAAAGAACAGACAATTTCATACTCGAGGATAAAAAAAAAGAAATGAATGGTAAACTATCCCCATACAAAAATCTGGTGTATTGGTCTTGGCCCGTAGAGATTCAAATCCATTGTTTCGTCACGATTATAACGAAAAGAGGACGCAAGGGGTGGGATTTGGTATTCGGGTGGAAGGGGTGACAGGAGGAAATTTCGGGGAAAGAATATTAATTTTTCACTCGTTGACCTTCGTGCGAAAATTTATTTCAATTTAGGACACAGTTATTTTCTACATTTGGTGGGGAAGAATGCTCATTTTCCTCATGTTTAAATCGAGATTATTTTTTTTAGTTCTTCTCGGGCCAAAAATATTCCTTTCCAAAATCATCCCTCCCCCCTCCCCCTACCCCCCCCCCCCCCTCCACACACACTGACAAAAAAAAATAAACAAACGGGGAATGTGTCTATGAGAGTGATGATGCCCCCACTTGCATATAATGTTATAAAGTAACATAACTCAAGAACGGTAAAACTTGATCTGAGTTTTGTGGTAATAAGCATTGTGTATAAATTTCATAACATTTGGTTGAGGCAAACTTAAGTTAAGAACGGAAACCAATTTTGGGACGTACGGACGGACGTACAGACGGACATGGGTAAAACTTAATGCCCCTTCCGCTACGGCGGGGCATAAAAAGAATTAAACGATCTTTCCCCAGAAATAAAGATATGAAAATACGCACACTCAAGAATAGCTTCACCAAGCAAGTATTGTGGTATTGCACACTTTAGGTGATATATATATCCCAAGAGCGTTTTTTTCAATAATATAGTTGTTTGTTTATGATTATTACATTCGATCTGTTTTTTGTAGGTAATGACCAAAGACAATTACTATCATTAGATAACACAAATACTGTATTGTATGAAATAGACCTGACGCGGCAATTTATCGTAATTGTTCTGTTGTTCAAATAAAACTGTTGCCTCATTTGGTTATTGAATGTGTTTAAGTATAAAAGTGCCTTTTTGCTTTCCTGAAAAGTTATTTCCTATCGAAAGGGATTAAATTTAATAAAAGAATTAATGTTAAGAATTCCAATTGATTAACATCGCATGCAAAACGTTTGATTTTTGTTAGTAAACACCAACATGTAAGAATAAGTGGAATGAATACCATCACATTTTTGGCGGTTTCCCTGAACATCAATTTCACGTTGTAAAGCAGATATCATATCTGTATTGCTTTAGCATGGCGAAGTTATTGCTTTGTCTTTGTCAGTGTTAATCTTGTTTTCTTTTCTCACTATGACATTACCAAACGAATATGGCTAGGAAACTGCTCAGAACCATACATCAGACCAAAACAAAAATAAGTTTGTTTATGTATAATTTCTAATTAAGAAAATAGGTTAAATAGGGATTTTCTACTTTGCTGAACTATTTTACCTTGAGTATGTGTTGACCACTTGCGACTTCGTCACGATTAACTACCAAAAATGCAAACAAAAACTTTAAAATGGTTAATTTGAGGAATAAAAATAGGGTAGGTAGGGAAAGTTACCTCTAAACACAAGTTATTTTTATTTTGATCTAATGAGAAATGTTCTCATATACATTTGTATATTATATCTTCGCATCTTTGTTGTGAAACAGTTTATAAAATTACAACAATGAGGGAAATAAGAATTAGTTCTTAAAATAGCAGTTGTTTTGTGAAATTAAAACAAATAAAGCCCGATATAATTAAAAATGAATTTAAATCAACAAGAGTTTTCCTAAAAAATTTGGAACTGTAAATTACACTTGTATAAAATTGTTTCTTTAGTTTAAATCAATATAAACAAAAGAGTTACCTTGCACATCGTCGACGAAAAAAGTCCTCTTTTGTCCACGTTGTCCTCCGTAATGCATCAACTTTAGATAAGTTTGGAGATTTTTTCTTAAAATTTGTGAAAGATTTAGAACGAAGTCTAAAAATGTCCTCCATAGTTTTTCTATCCAGACGGAACAGAATATGAATAAAAAGTGTAAATCAACTAAACACCCACAATACTGTTGTAAAGTGGACGCCTACTTAAGAATTTGCAACCATGCTATCTTGTCATTTAGTGTCCAGTAAGTCTCCTCCCAATTAAGTAGATATTTACAATTTTCAATACATAGCACATCGATATCAAATCGATATCAAAAACAATTTCCAATAGTATCCGCCTGCATTTATCATGAAAACAATTTAAGGCAATCATTAACAGCGAGGAATCAATGCTTTATTATTTGGTCATGAATTATGATACAGCAATTCAGGTGAATATTATTTATTATCACTCCATGTTAATAAATAAAAATTCTTGCCACAAACAACATTTCTATTTTTCTTTTTAACACAAAAAAATGAATACTACCAAGGACAGTTCTGACGTATTTAAAGCATACAATGGTCAACACATTATTCTATTCTTTTCCATCCTATGCTTGACGTTTTCTTTCTTGTCTCCTCTCCTTTCCCCCCAAACACAGTACATCACGCAGACACATGTTATTGTGTACAGTCATGCACACAATTATTATTGTATATCATGCACACTATTATAATTGTATTCTTTCCAAAATAGTTTTTCAATAAGACTTCCAGACGTAATCTTGTTGTGATACATGTAACGTTTGAAACAGTCATAGCAGATGTTGTTAAGTCATAACCGATCGTCCTTCATTGACATACATTTTGAGTGCTACGTCGTGTGGTAAGGACCCTTCTCAGCAGTAAATCATATTCAATTTTCATTAATAAAAGTCACTTAAAAGAAATGACGTGTCTAAGGAAAGATTTCTAAATTGTTTTGAAAATATAGTACACGACACTTATATTTATGTACAATTTTCATCTCTAGATGAAATGGATTTCCATTTTTTACGAGGATGACCGAAAGCGAATACTTCCGAACCATTTCGCGGGTTTACTCATATTGGTAGAAAAATAATGAATTTCTTATATCAATTAGTTTGTTTAACGTTCAGTGGCAAATATATCATGCGTATTTAGAGTGATATAATCATATTTTTAGTTCACATGTATATTATGAGATCACGGAAATTATTATTAAAGCGGATGCAGGTGAATACACATCATTTCACAATTAATCAAGAGTAACTTCTATTTTCAAATCACAGGTTACATACCTGCCAACTTTTCAATATCTCCATGAGAAATTTTAAGCACAAGAGGATACAAAGCACACCTATACATGTCATTAGTGTACTTAATTAGAACATCTATTGTTTTGAATGAGTAAACATAAGTTTAAAATGTATTTTTACTCCTCTTTACGCCTTTTTCAAAATATTCAGTCTTACTATATAATTGAGTTTTATAAGGGTCAGGTCAACACCTCTCATTGAGATATACCCCTTAAAGCGGGAAAGTTGGCAGGTCTGTTGTTGTCCAGTGAGAAGTTAACTCTTCGTAAATAAATTTATTTTTTTATATAATCTTGTTTTAATACTTTTTTTTTACAAATATGCTTATGGATCTGGTCTGGCTGTGGTCTAAGATCATAAACTTGAATTGATTATATCTATATATGATTGTCAAAATTATTTGTGTCTCTCAATTATAAATAAATGGAGAAAGTGTCCATGGCACATAGATGATACCCCCGCTTGCATAAAACGTTATAAGGGGACATAGCTAAAGAAAGATAAAAGTAACGCCACCCTGATTTGAACTTGATTTGCTTTTAGTGGTAATAAGCATTGTGTATATATTTCATAACATTTGGTTGAGGCAAACTTAAGTTAGAGAACGGAAACGAAACATTTAGCAATTTTTCCACTTGTAAAGGAGAATTATAACTCTAGAACGGTAAAAGTGACGCAACCCAAATTCGAACTTGATCTGTGTATTGTGGAAATAAGCATTGTGTATAAGTTTCATAACATTTGGTTGAGGCAATTACACTAAAGCTAGAGAACGGAAACCAATATTGGGACGTACGTACGGACGGACGTACGGACGGACGGACAAGGGTAAAACTTAATGCCCCAGATGACGACGGGGCATAAACATTATTGTAATAAATTACTTTGCTCATCATTGGCCAATTAATTGGGACAAAATAATATTGATCGTTATACATTTACAAGTAAGTGTATTGAACATTCTGTATTTTGAAGGATCTGACAATTAATTATTTTGCGTGAGTACATTTGTACATTACATATTAATGATAAAAAGGCAAACATAGAAAAATGTTAGGAAGCGACACAACATAACTTTTATAACAAATTAAATTTTCTTTTAAGAGGGGTGCATATATCATACGTAAGTGATAACATGTAATGCATTTGTAAATAAAACAATTTGAATTGTCGTCCTTTGACCAAAAGAAAATCAACACGTCACGTAATGTATCTAAGCTTTCACTTTTATGGCATTACGCATCGTCAGCACTTATATAAAACAAAATTAAACGTCTATATATATATATATATATATATATATAGCAAGGAAACATTATACCTCTTTACAAGTGTGTTCATGAATACACTTGTCTAATACACAGATGATCGAAATATGATTTAAAAGTAGAATTTTTAATAATTATAAGTAAAATGAACTTCAAGCACGACTGTAAAGTAACCGATTAAATATGCCATTGTGGTACAATTCTATTTGATATCTTTGCAAAATTAATTTTTACGATTGTTTGTGGTATAATAAATCGATACTTAAAGAAATCTAATTTCAAGTCTCCAGTAATTGATTTAAATCAACCTATAAATATACACATAAGGGAACGATCAACTTAACTTCAAAAAAAGGGGGGGATTGTTATGGTTTTTTCCTAAAAATATATTCTGATCAAAAAAATATTGTGGTCAAGCAGATGACAAAAAAAAATATTCTGAATCCAGATTTTCCAATACCTTATACTGTTAAATTTTGAAAAAATAATTTGATTGATAGTCTCGAAAAATTAGAAAAAAAATTCTTACTAAGACAAAAAACCATAACCACCACCCTTGAGGTTAAATGGTTGCTCCCTAATATTGTCAGTGCTTTTCTTTGTTTGGTGGCAGGTCTCTGATATTCTCGGTTTAAATCATTCAAAACTTTTTCAGGCGCGGTGCGTTTTAGGGCTTGACATGGTTGACATTGTACAGATACCATCCTATGTTTAAGATCATAGGTTGACCTCTTGATTTTTGTTTGTAAATTGGTTGTTGGGTTATTGTCTCTCTGACGTAATTACCCGCATCTCATTTGTACAAAATATATTAATCAAATATAATTGAGAATGGAAACGTGGAATGTATTAAAGTGACAATAGCCGGACCAAAGAGCAAAAAACAGCCCAAGGCCACCAAAGGGTCTTCAACGCAGCAAGAACATCCCGCACCCGCTTATGCTAGCCCCTTAATAATAATTTATACTGCACTCATTCTATTTGAGCAGTCAAAATGCGTTGACCGTATATTTCTATGTCATATACAGTCACTGACCTGATATCACTTTTCCTCATGAATATTTAAATAGAAATTGCCGAAATTATAATTAATTATTCATACGATCTATTCAACCTGTTCTTGTTTCCAATGTATTCAACGACTCAAACTTATTTCTTTTGCAATTTTTAGAGAAAAAAAAACATATTTCACTTGTCAATACTTTTGGTTTGCAAACAATAAATCATTATGTTTTATGCTTATTGTTGATATTTTAGTTCATTCTCAAACGAATTCGTTCACCATCGATTGCGGGTTTCAACAAGTAATGTACATTTCATTGTGTTGTATATTTCTCCGCCTGCATGATATGGGGCCTTTTTATAAAAGGGGGAAGTTTCTCAGTATTTAAATCAAATAATAACAATAACACATTAAACAACAATTGAAAATGTTTTTTTTAAGATTGTAGTATAAAGACAATAATAGTGCATTGACTTGACATATCAACGATATAAGGATTCGGCCCGAAACGGGGAAAAAGCTCGGCAGAGCCTCGCATTTCCCCGTTTCTAAGCCTCATCCTTATATCGTTGATATGTCAAGTCAATGCACTATTATTGTCTATGTATACTAGTTCAGCGAAAAGGACTCCATCAAAAAACGATAACGAGTCCTATGTACACCTTGTTTTTTGGCCTCAAATTTGGGACATCATAGATGTATAATGCGGGTTTTGAGGGGGTGCTATGCAATCAATTATACTTAAAACAAATAATTACAACATTCTTCAATAAATCTTTTCTTTAAAGTGATGCAACTTTAGTAATGGTTCTTATGTTATTTTCTTAACTGCACTAAACATGTCCTTTCTTCGTAAGTGATGATCGCTTACCCATTGGTCAAGCCCAAAGAACTTATGCCGACCAAGCCCGCCTTTAAATCTGATATCTATTCTATAAGTTTTTTTCAAATAAAGGTTAATACAAGCGATATGCATATGCTTCCAGATACATGTAACCATCCTGTTTAGAAGAGAAAGTATAATATAGTATGGCTGTTTACATCACATTTTAGTGTCAGACTTGAGGTCCGTATTCATGCAAACAATTTCGATTGTATTGAAAAAAAAGACGACGACTGGGAATTCAAATGTTTTAAGAACAAAATGAGCATCCACATTTAATATTGAGGGTAAAAAAAGTTACGCACATCGTCGGATAACATTTGATATATTTGTACTGGTTTCGAAACAAAAGAAAAGCTCAACAAACTTTGCTTTTCTTAACGTTTTTTAAAGATCGTTTAAATAAAAATATTTTCTGACATTGTACGTATATTCTATAATGTATCTATGTGAAAATTAGACCGAAGAAGTGTCTACGTATATAAACAAAAGTTCACGTGTAAAAAGGAGAATATCTAAGTATTATTAAGAATTTAAATGGCGAGGAACGTGAAGAAGCAAGTGAAAAACGAAAAAAAAAAAAAAAAAAATTCCAAACAACTGTACCTTGCACATCGAGGTCTAAAACCATTTTGGTAAATCCAATAGGAACGTCTAGTTACAACTTTGGATGTTGAGATGGTACTTTTTCTCTTCCTTGTAATACAAGACTTTGATCTTACCAGAAACATTTTATATTAGTCCAAAAACTACTCCGGGTCACATTTTCAGTTAAAACGAATATAGAGAACTAAGCAATATCGTTTACTTCGTAATATTCTTATCAATTATACGCAGGAATCAACGTCCTTTACACTTGTCAATGTCTATTTCCTGAAGCCATAATTTCCAATCATAAATGTGCATTTGCTGATTAAATAACACAGGTCCATTGTCTTAAAAGTGGAGATCAATTTCTAGACAACATGTCCGTTTTAAACACAAATTTACATACTATTTAAGTCATTATACCTCCGCTCCTTTATGCACGCACTTACTGATCTTAAATGATCTTTATCAAGTAAGTGTTTTTTTTACTAATCACGTATTTATATACATATATATCTTATAAATTGAAATTTAATCGGTTACAACATTGGTTGTTTCGCTGCTATAACAGTCGTTATATTTTTTTTGTTATGATTGGTGCTGGAAATCTTTCTATTGAAGTTCTGTATTAATTGA